CATTCACCGTTTGGAGGTGAATGAATGCATATCTAGCCTTCACAATGACTCGCGATGGCAGAGCGATGAATAGAGCCATTGCTGCTCTCCTCCCAGCCAAATCGTACCAATTTGCCGACCCCGGAGGAATGAAAGACTAGATGAGAGTTTGACGCGGGGATCAGTCCCATGTGCATTGCAGGGCGCCTCCGACAACTGCGCCACAAGCGTCATTTGTTTTTGATCCTATGAATGTAGAACAAATATAGAATTTTTGCGCAGAGTAGTATTTGCAAGGAATACATTAGTAGAAAACTAATATTCAGGTCCACTGTCGTCGTGGGAGGATCGACTTAGGGTATCGAAGGAGAGTGGCTATAATATGATCCATCTAACACCAATACATCATTTGGGCGTTTCAAATAGTAGCTATTCTATTAGCGACCATCACGCTTTAATTCAAACCGTCCACGAGGTTATTTGTTAGCTGTTGTTTTTTAAGTTTTGCTAGTACTACTCAAGCTTCGCTTAATTCCTAGTGGTTTTCGTTTTAGCAAGATCGTAAGGTCGACTTTGTTGACATTGAACATCTTGTAAATAAAATCGAGAAAGACTGGAATATGTTGACCGTGCAAGACGTGGTCTGGAATCATGCCGCAAAAAATGCCCCTTGGTTACAGGTACCTTTTGCACGTTTCTCCGCAATTCGTTCTATTTAGCACATTAGGGCCGTACTTCTGTTTTGATAACTGCTAGTAGTTTCTCCGTCATTAAAGTAATTGAAGAATTAAGAACTTCACAAAATTACAGAAGAGAGTTCTCTTAATCGTCTTAATTTTACGCAGAATATTTATGTGTATATGTGTATTTTCATTTCACATGACCTTTCACATCTGCTCTATGTATCCCAGAAATTCCTGCAATGGATTCGTTTCATCGCATCCATCATCCATCCATCGCATCATCTTGTGTCTGGGTTCCGCCGCTGATTGAGGATTTTCCTTCCACCATAAATTCGTTGAATGCTGGTCGAGTCGTTTCTTTATTTAAATCCACATATATATACATACATACATGTATATACGCATATGTATTTTACATCTATGTATTGATTTGGAGTCTGTTTATAACCGAGTTTCCAACGCAAATGCGGCAGCGGAAAACACAAATGCTGCATCTTCTCGTGTTGCATGGAATTCCAATTCTTCATTTTCTTCCTTGTTCGAAATACGAACCTTGTTCCACGGATCTCCTTCATATGAAGGATCTCGGGCAGGTTAGTCGCGAAGCAACCTGGCGCGTTCCCAGGTGATGGATAGGAGCTTAATAGCGGACAAAATGCGGCGTTCGCTTCCTTGAGATGCAGGTGAATCCAAGGAATGGAGTCGATGTTTCTGCTGCGCCGATTTGGCGCATGCTTTCTGTGTTTTAGGATGCGCATTCATGCATGCGTGCGTGGATGTGTTGTCGTTCATGCGGATTCTAGTCTAAGAGTCAGTTCGGCGAAAAACCTGCAATGAAATGGCTGGGAATTAGGCAGTTAGGAGTCGCCTTCAACAAATAAACTCCATGATCATTCTGGGAGAGACTGGCACTACCCGTGGGTATATCCATCCCCCACCTTCAGAGCCCAGCAAGCTATACGTAGGTATCAAAAGCTAAACACGGTGAAATAAACGGGCCTCATTTCCCTGACCTCGAAAGAGCCCCCGATTCGGCAGGGTTTGGTAGGACGAGTACGGAGAAGTCGCTAAAATTTCGGAGCCATTCCAGGCTGCCTAAATCGCAAAGGACTAAGGTAATGATCTGTATCTACAATGCACGCACATTTGATGGAACGAGCAGGGTGAGTTTATAATGACGTCCAAGAACATTGACGGTAACTGCTGCACGTGAGAGTCTTTCAATGGGGAATACCGTAATGAAATAGACCACGTCTTAGTAAATCGAGGATTATGCATAAGCGATGTAGCTATTGCCCCAAAATTCTACACAAGATAGATTATCGCCTCCTTCGCGCAAGATTTCATTTCTTGCGGAAAGGTGTAAAACCTGCCAAATTCAAAAAACGAAGTTGCAAAACCAGCATAAATTGGGGTTCATTCAATTTATTAGTTGGCCGTTGGGAAGATGCGGTGCTGGATGACATCGACGAGGAATACAATCGTGCATTCAACATCTTCATGTTAACGCTATGAAAGCTGAGAGTTCGAAAGTCAACAAGAGACGTTTGTCTCCAGAAACAGTCGAGCTGATACACCAGCGTGGAAGCGCACGAGCTGCAGGCAACCGCGAACTAACGTCCGAACTTGCAAAATAATGCAGACAGGCAATAAAAGAAGGTCTTAAAGAGAGAACAGCAGCAGCAATCGTCGAAGCTGCAGAGGTTGGGAAAAACACTCGCAAAGCCCACCGAAGCTTCGCCAATTAAAAGGCCAAAATGATTGCACTTCGATGCCCAGGCCGAACAGTAACAACGTCCAGGAAAGCAATGGAAAAAATCATTCCCGATAACCACTAAGATCTTTTCAATAACCTCGTCCTCCTGCTATCATATGAAATAAAGGAGGATGGATATGTCGTACCACCGCTTTTCCGCTCCGAAATCGAACGTTTTATTTCGCCGGTGAAAAATCGAACAGCTTCAGATCCGGTTAGGATAAGATCGGAATACCTGAAGAACCTTCCGCTCGTCCTCGTAAACACACTGGCTCGGCTCTTCATACGTTACCTGTTTGAGTGCACGGTGCCTACTAATTGGAAGATCAACAAGACCGTACTATTATTGAAGAAAAGGGGCCTCCACGAAATTGACAACTATCGCCCAATTTGCTTGCTCTCTGTTTTCAAAACCTTTAATTCACTCGAGGCATCCTGAACGCGATTGGAAGAACACTGAACGAATGACAACCGTGTGAGCAGGCAGGATTTCGTAGAAGATTTCGTACAATGGACCCCATCCACACGATAACAAGTTTCACTGAAGTATCGCGAGAGTAGAAAAGACTGCTTGCTCTCCTTCCTCGATTTAAAGAAGGCCTTTGACTCAACTGAGATAGAAGAAGTCATGGAAGCACTGGACAGTCAGGGAGTCAGTATACAAAGACTCTACGTGAGATATACAAAGATTTTACAGCTAAAATTTCATAATCCTACAGCGATGTTAACATTGACGTCAAAAGAGGGATTAGGTAAGGCGATACCATCTCGTCAAAATTGTTTGCCGCCACCTTCGATAACATCATGCCAAAATTGGGTTGGGATAACATGGAAGTGAAAATCGATGGTTGGCAATTACACCATCTTCGCTTTGCTAGTGATAAAAGGATGGAGGATAAAGCATTCGGCGTTGAACAATCCCTGAGGGATGCGCCATGCATTCAACTTCATTAAGCATCGTTTGGAGGTGATTGAATGCTTATCTGGCCTTTACAATGACTCGCTGTGGTCTAGCCATATATCGCCAATGCTGCTGTCTTTCCAGACAAATCTGTTGCCAATTTTCCAAGCCCGGAGTGATGGAAGGCTTGGTGAGCCATGGGCGCGGGATCGATTCCACATGTGTGTTACATGGTGCCTCCGACCACTGCGCCACACGCGTCCTTGATGATGATGTCGTTCTTATAACATCAAATATTAGCCAGGCGAAACGAATGCTTACCGTTCTTGATAAAGCCTGTGGAAGGATTGTTTCGACTAAATCTAGCAAAAACGATGTACATAAGAAACGGATTGGTTTCGTATGCCCCATTCACGTTCAACGGAACGAATATCTCCGAATGCTCCAGCTATATCTATTTATCTCGGGACATCAAAATGATGAACGACTTAGCTCCAGAGTTGACCACAAGTAAATGAGCGGCTTGACGAAGTTACATGAGTATTAAAGCATAGTGAGGGGAACAAAAAACATTCAATTCCGTGCTCACCTTGTCGACTTAACGGTGCTTCCTGTCTTAACGTATGAGTGAGTGGCCTGATCACTGCGCAAGCAGGATGAATGATTACTTAGTGTTATTGAACGAGCGGTCGAAAGGACGATGCTAGGAATATCCCGTTTCGTACAACTAAGGGAAGGGATCCGAAGCTCCGACTTGCGTCAACGATCGAAAATCAAAGATGCCGTTCTGTACTCCAAGCAGTCAAAGATAAGTTGGGCCGGACACGTAATGCGTATGAACGACAACCAACGGACAACAGACATGAATGACTGGATTCCTCGAGATATCAAACGTACTGCAGGAAAACCATCGACCCGATGGTCACTTTTCTTCACCTAGAATAAAGGTGTGGTGCTCAACGAGTTTCTAGAGCGAGAAAAATGGAATATTAACTGGCGACTGTTCGGGTCTTTCAACGATCGACAAGACGTCAGGTGATGCAGATGGTTATCAAAGTTAGGAACAGGTCCCTACCGGCATTGGATTTTTAAATGTTCGTTTCAGTGTGCTGTCATTTTCGATCAAGAAGAAACTTTTCTGAAAGTTAGAAAAGCGCTACCCCTTGTACCTTTACATGCAATATATAACTCCTTTCGCAATTTAAACGTTATGTTTTCTCCTGCGTACACCACATGATGAGATCCACTGAGTTTTTTCGAGAAAAATGCTACACTTTGTGCTTGCTCACATCCAACTTTCATGTCGGAATCGTTTGCTTTGAACAAGTTTGAATTGACGCAAAAATTCACTTTACCTCACTTTTTTCAAATTAACTTTAAAAATGAGCCCTCACCTACTGAAAGGAAGCAAAATATTCGCTTTAAATGGCACATATTTTCGTAAGGGCTGAACTCTTCCCAGTTTTATCTGAGGAAAAGACATCAAAACATCAAAGAGGCAAAACCAATGTAGTGTTCTAGGGAGTCTAATCATTGCTTGAAAAACTTTAATATTACAGGAACATCCAGAATGCGGGTACAACTGCTTGAACAGCCCTCACTTGCGGCCTGCTTTTGTTCTTGATAGGTTCGATTACTGTTTGTATTTCCCATACTAATTTCTTTTCCTCTGGTCCTTAATTTTACTTTATAGATTTATTTTTGGCAGTTCGTAGCCTCGCAGTAATTACTAGGGTGTTTGTTGTTGTTTAACCACGATGCTGATTTATCGGCCTAGTAGAGTTATATTCAGGCCAAAAACGAACAAGGCACTGTCATCCAGACACCTAGCTAAGGGGAGGCGGACTTGAAGTTTCGCCACCGTTTTGTAGAAACCTAATCGCATAATGGCAAAGTTAAATGAAAAGTGTGGTGGGACCATCATATTTGTCGTGGAGGATTTATGTTGCGTGAAGCTTGTGTTCGGAACCGAAACCGATGCGTTTCCTATTTAATGCTGTTACCTAGCATTTTTGACGTTCGTCTTTAAACAAACTATTTTTCTGTAGTAAATTTTCGAAATATTTTTCACAAATGTCCGATCTCACATGTTCAACTTCTTGATTGTGCAAAAGATAAACTCAGTTCCAAACCAAAGGTAATATTCACCTGTCACCTTGTCGTCACCTTAATCGTCAAGTGACTTGAGCAGATGCCAGTAAATCATCCATTTTTCCCACTCGTGTGCAAGAGTAACCCAGTGGATTCTGTTCGTTCTGGGGACTCGTTGAGCATCATACCGTTCTTCTTGGTTTTTCATGAAGAAATCTGACCATTGGGTCGGTAGTCCTCTTGCAGTAGGTTCGACATCGGGAAGAATCCAGTTACTAAAGGATCTTGTCCATCGGTTACCATTCATACGTATTACGTGTCCGGCCCACCTTATCTTCGAATTTTTGGCGTACAGAACTGCATCTTTGATTATTCCCTTCTCTTACTTGCGTGACACGGGATACTCCTAGTATCGTCCTTTCGACTGCGTGTTCAATATTTCATTTGAATATTAAATCCTTTTCGAAATCCTGCTTGCTCAAATGGCTTTCCTTCGTTCAGTGTTCTTTCAATGCTGTTTTGGATGACCCGAGTGAAAAGTTTGTAGATGAAAGACGATACGCAGATTGGGCGATAGTTGCCGATGTTGTGTAGGTCACCGTTCTTGAACAATAACAGTTTTGCTGTTCTTCCATTGAATAGGAACCTTGGGTTTCGACAGGTAATGTGTGAAGGCGCGAGCCAGAATATTGATGAGGACTGTCGGAACGTTCTTCAGATATTCAGGCCTCATTCTGCCTGGACCACGTTTTGTTCGAATTTTCGTCGATAAAATTTTTCCATTGTGTTTCTCTGGAGTCCCATGGTTAACCTAGGCAAAGTCTGCCCTAGGTCGTCATCAACACAGGCAGTCGCCGCCTTTTTGGATCAGAGGGAGATTTGCCACCATGCGACTGGCTTGGTACCAGGACGATGGTGGATCTGGTATTGGTTCATTCTTAGCTGAGCTTCCTGATGAAAACGCCAGACTCCTTCTTAGTATGGGAGATCTTGCTGGAGGGATGAATTCTTCCGTTGTAGATCGCAGCGCCACACCCAGGAACACCTCCCAGTCACAATGAGACGGTAAACCGTTGGGAGGGACTGTTTGAATACTCGGCGGAAAACTAAACGGCGTCCAGTGCAGCAAGCAACGGCATTTTGGTAGACGTTTTATTTCGTTCATCTATTTCCTGTGCAGAAAAGTGTTCTTTCATAGTTCATCTTGGATTGAAAAAAAACCAGCAATTTCATTCTGTTATTTATTGCCTATTGCAATTTTTCATTGCAAGGTATTATGTGTGGTACAACCATAATGATGCAGAGGTGTTTGCAAACCTCCGGACTCCAGGTTTGCTCTGGTGACAGAACGCTCTATTACCCTTTCCGGGGGTTAACGCGCTCACTACGAACCCCACCATGCGGGTCCTTCGTTTCGCTTTTCTTGGAAAAAAAAACCAACGGTTTTTTTGTGCGGAGACTGCGTTTTTCTCGCTGGAGTTAACGTCTCGTGCTACGAAGCTACTCTGCCTGTTCTTGCCGTTCCTGCGGAAACTACATTCTGCCGAATGTGCCGTTGATGTTTGTGGTTACCGTACTCTCGTCAGCGCTTTTTCGCCATTCGTAGTTGTGGTCCAGAGATCAGATGTCGTTTGATTATCAATTAACCACCCAGTCACCACCATATTTGTCCATTTTGAAGTGTCCCGAGTGAAATACGTGTCGTAATTTTTTTTAGCTAATATATGAGTTTTTTAAAAAAAAATTTACTATGTGAAACATTTTACTCAATCTAATATTTCTATAGCTTTTATATGAAGTGCAGTTTAGTAATCAGAAAATATGCGATAAGGTTACACTTCTGTTTTGGGCTTTGTCTGCTACACTGCTTACAGCTTTACAGAGAAGAATGATTGGGGGGTCTTCAGGGTGTACCACCATTTCGGAGTTGAGGTCAGCAGGAACAAGTGGGCATCGCGTGGCGTTCCAGAGGTTGTTAACTCTGTGCATCACACCAATGTGAGATTTGTTTCTGAACTTTTCTCCATGCTGACAAGGACTTTAAAGCTGCTATCACTTTATCCTTAGAGGCAGTAGTCATTTCCAATCTTTTCTAGACAATTGAATACATTCTTCGCACGGAAGTTTTGCCAAAAGTACGCCTTCATGAATTTTTTCAAGTAAACATCGAAGAAAACGTCGGGAAGTTCGAGGATTTGGCAAGAAGTATAAATTTTTTGTTTATATATTTATCTCTGCGTTCAGATTTACCGTTCGGGCACTTTTTTTTCCAGAAGGAGCATCATCCGAGCCTCTGGATGAGTTCTTACCAGTTGAACAGGATCCGGAATGGAAACGTTTCGGTTGCTCGGTTGATTGGACAAAAGCCATGAGGATATTCAATAGAAACAGGTGTTTTAAAATCTCAATCTGTTTTGACTCTGGTGGACGAGTGCACCGTATTTCTCTTCATTGGTAACGATTTCTTTTCCCGAAAGCAAATCAAAAAGGTAAAAATTCCGATTCATGATGAATTTTGTATTTCGTTGTAAGTCCGTGTTTTATTCTTGAAGAGATGCGAGCTTCTCAATAAAAAGGTTTATTCAGTATTGGATGGTGTCCTTCTTCATGGCCTGGGAACGTCAAATTGGCACATAATCAACTCAGCCTAGCACTTTCATAACCTAAAGAGAGAAAACTCAATGCACAGTTTTCATCCGCATATTGAATGGTTTCTTTTAAGGATCCACAGTTTTCTTTGCTACAAGTTCTCTAGCTATTTGGTGGAGACCAGCCGCAAAGGGTCAGGAATTTCTCGGACTTAGGTCAGAAAAATCGGCCTGACGTATGGCCCGATGTCATGCGTTTTCACATGACACTCCTTGCTGTTCATTTCTCCATTTCTGGAATTAATCCAGAGCGCTTCAAGAGTTTTACGCGCTCATGTTTTAGATTCTTGTGTCAGATTCGTTGCTTGGATTTTAACACTTTCTCTACGTCCAGTGCGTTAGGAAAATTGCTTTGACAAAACCTTTGTTACACGATCACGTGGTTAATTCTGTCTTCGTGGTTGACATGGTCGGCTGGTGGAAACAGCGGTGGTGAGAGATGATATGGAATCGCATATTCGCTGCTCATTTGATCCTGTATCCAAGGAAGTAAGCTCCCCATTGCTCCGAGGTCGGAAAATTAGTATCGGACTTCTAGGAAAGGGAAAAAGCTCTCTCCAATCAGCAAGAGTTGACGAGTTTCTGCGATGAAGGTGTGCGAACGGTCTGATAGAGCTATTCCAAGATTTTTGGGCAAACTAGTTCATCCGGCGTCCAACGATATCCATGAAGAGAACAAAGTCGTCAAGTAGCAGCCAAACCCGCACTTAGAGGCAAAGACCTTCATGGACGACGATTGCAAGACAACGAGCTTGGTAGAAGAGATGCTGAAGTCCGTACAACATATGGGAACATGCATGTAAATGAAAAAAGTGTTTTACATTACAGGACATCACTTACCATTCGTTTCCTCGCCTCCACCATCCACTAAGCTCTTCAAACTTTTTCTGCGTTGGTCTCGTTGCATCGTAAAGATTTCAACTTCTTTGTGAATTTTTGAGAACTCGTTCTTGATGTTCTTAAATTTTGAAATGTAATCAGGTCCTTTATGGAACGTATTTATTGAAGCATCCGTGAATTCGAATTGCATTTATCGTCACCGTAGACCTTACAGGTTTTCAGGTCCTTTAACTTGATCATAGGGTTTTGGCTAAATTGCTGTGCAAGAATCCAAATTCAAGCTAGCACATCCACGAATGCTTAATCTGGAGCAGAAGGGAAAGGGAGGTACCAATCGAACGTTACCTTCATTTCTCAAGGGTAGCTTTTGCTTCGCGTTTAAACCTTGTTCTCTCCCTAGATTGCTCACGTAGGATCACAACTAGTCGGCACGAGATCCTTCGTATGAAAATGGTTCATTGTTAACACAAGTAAAATTGAACCAATAAAACAGAAAAGGCAGACGACGTTACCCAACCGGATAAGCATGTATTTTTTGACTTTGTTATTACAGAGATGATGCAGAATCTGAAGAAGACCGTGTATCGAAATGCACAGCTGCATTCAGGGAACATTTGATCTTCTTGAATAATGAAGGTATTCCTAAAATCGTTGCAGTGCTGCCTTTTCAGCCTTCGCCATGACCATTTATACCTTATTCAGCTGGAAAGGAATCCTGGTACATTCTTATGGCTGGACTTCGAGCCGTTATGGGGCACATCACCTATCAACGGACTGCTGATGGAGGACCGAAGCTGGGCGCTGTTACGGAGCGACATCCACTAACTACAGAGTAGGTGAACGCTCATATAACCAATTGTGAAAAAGTAATAAATTGACATTTTCCACTTTTTCTCTATTACTTTTCACGAAACTTCTAAGTTTTAGACTTTACTGTCTAGATAATTTCAAATTTAAGATTTAGAGCCACAAGGATGTTGAGAAATAAACAAAACTCGGAGCCACAAGTGGACTTTGAAACCGCGGCTGCTCTTTCGGGGACTCACGTGATTGAGAGGAAGGCAAACAAAGGGCCTCGGTTGGTGTAATGGATAACACGTGAGCCCCTGGAAAGAGTAACCGCGGGTAGAAAGCGCACCTGAGGTTCTATTTCTTCTTATAACTCAGAATTGTTGTCACTGTGTTTGAAATCATACCGTGCCACAAAAAAACAAAAAATAATCGGCTGTATATATAGGTTGGAGCGTTTTAAATTTTTACATTTTTATCTCTTCAATCCTCCCGCCGGTTCATCGTGGCTAGGAGGTGTTCTTGGGTGTCGGGCTGCTATGTACAAGGAGGACTCATCACCCTAGAAGGGTCCCCCCAAGCTGAGAAAGAGTTCGGCGTTTCACTAAGGAAGCTCAGCAAAGGGTAAACTAATACCAGGATCTGTCACCGACCTAGTACCAAACTGGTCACATGGTGGCAAATCTCTCTGATCAGCGAGGACGGATACTGTCTGTTGTGGTGACGACTTGGGGCAGACTTTGGTTACGCTGACTTCGGGACTCCAGGGAACCACAATGGCTAAACTAGTAAAACTCTGAAAGATTTGAATTTTCCTGGGGTCCGCACAGTTATTGAGGACGGACCATCCAAGGCTTTAAATATAAGGCAATCTATGGTAAACAATCGCTATCTCACCAGCAGTTATAATCAAGGCTGGGATTCTGACCAAATTTTTAACACTGGTATATTATTAATAAAACCTGCTTGGATTAAGAACTATCTTCTTCGCCTGACTTCGCAAATGACTGCAGTAATCTCAATCTAAGTTTACCGCCTTACTGAATTTCTTAGTAGTTTATCCACATATTTTCCATTCGTTTCATTTCCTTGCAAAAGTTGGTGTTATCGTCGGCTGAGTGATGGTTTTGTAAGAACTTTTCACCGATGTGTTTAGCTTTTTCGTCTTAATCGAGCCACATTATTATCCACTGTATTATGGTAGTGAAGATCTTCCGCTCGAAGGTGTCAAATAGTTTTTCTCATAGCTGGGAAAAAAGCTGTGAGAGAGCTCCATCATTGTAGAATAGTAGGTGTAGCAGTCAGAAGGCGGTAAAGGACGATCGACGCCCTAGTCAGCGAGCTCTGGCAGAACTGAAGCCATTTCGGAAATGATAGTTAAGTGATTCATTATAGTTTGACAAAAGTTAGATAGAGTGGGCTGTACTAGCAAAGAAACATCTGTCTCCTCTTGCATGTGGTCCTCCTGTTGCAGACGAGATTGCACAACTGTTGAGCTTCATTCAACCCTGTTGATATACGCGACAGGGTTACTGTGGTGAAGAACTTGTTTAGTACATTCAGACAGATCAGTTGTTGCAGACACCTGTCTAATCAAAATTGTTCTGGTTCTCTTATGATTCTTTAAGATGATAGGCCACTCAAATACAGAAAAGTCTTTATTTTTCGCTTTTTTTTACTTAGTTTGTCTATTCGTTTCTATCATTGTGCCATATAAATGCATGTTTTTGTCATGTATTTCAGTTATTTTTCCTTCCATGGTGACTCGATATCATGGGAAGAGGACGAAAAACTGGCGTACAATCCGGACACCTCTCGGTTTCTTCATGCTTTCAACGGCTGGGTGATCAGCGCGGATCCGTTGAAAAACTTCGCTCTACCTGATTCACAGGTGACATCTTCCTTTTTCGTGTGGTTTTACATTTTCTTCAATAATATTGTTTAAGGTGTACCTTCGACGTGAATTAGTTTGCTGGGGAGATTCTATAAAGCTGAACTATGGCGAAAAACCGGAGGATTCACCATTTCTATGGGAGTATATGAAGAGTTACACGTAAGTGCTCTTTCTCTTTTCATCATATTTTCCGTTGGGTTGGAATCTTGATTATGACCTCAATTGAACAATTTTGGTAAATTCTTAGATTGTTCATGTATATTTCTCAAAATTACTGCTTAGAAGTCCACCGCCTTACCACTTCGAGTGGGGTCACTTAAGATTATCCATTTCACATTTCCATAATGGAGCTGATGGGTGGATAGCACAATTGGGTTGTCGTCGCTCATCACGAGCATGATGCTAGTTCGACTCCACTGTGGGCCAACAAAGTCTGTCATCGGTCCGGGGCCGTGTTGTTGGTACCGGACTAGTCCGGGTGGATATCACTCTCTGCAGTCCAGTTGGGAACGCTCCAGCCCTGCCATTACGGGACCCCAAGGAGAAACGACTCGACTAGCATTCTACGGCATTCAAGATGAAATGAAAATACTCAAGCAGTAGCCGAAGCCACGCATAGAAGTTGGAAGATTTTCGTGGATAATGGATGCAAGGAAACGAATCGAATGTGAGAAATGCTGGGATCCGCATAGTAGACGTGAAGACGGTTCATATAAAAATAAAAAAAAATTATTGGAACTGATAAATCACACCTGTGCTGGAAGAAAACTAATGGAAGGGTGGAAAGATTTCCAATTCTCTCTGATACGTGACTGTTTGAGATTTGAGAATGGTTACCACTGGGTTGCAGTAGAATAAATTTGCTCAGGCATCGATGCCAGTGATACGAAAGGGTTGCTGAAAAAGCGGATAAAGACTGGCTATTCAAGTTTGCAAGTAAACCTGTACATCTAGGCAGAAGTGTGCCCAAATGTTCCATGGTCTTCGGATTGACAACGCCCACGGTACTCCTATTCATGTTGCTGAGGTGGTTTTTGAAAAACGTTAGGATATTGAGCTGAAAATCTATTTTTTTAATTTGAAGTATCTTCTACACGCTGCTCGTGAGATTCGGCCTGATGTATACGTGTTCGCCGAGTTGTTCACGGGAAGTGAAGAAAAAGACAACCTTTTCGTCAATAGGCTTGGCATTTCTTCTTTGGTCAGAGGTATGTTGTTATCCACAAGATTTTAGAAATCTGGTGATAAAAAGTTGATTACATTTAGAGGCCCAAGCTGCTCACGATAGCCATGAACAGGGAAGACTCGTTTACAGGTTTGGTTTCTAGCAGTTTTTTTTTACTGTAAGTGAATATTGCTTTGTAAAAATAGGAGTATTCCTATGGAAGGAACCAAATATTTTGAGTGTTGGTAATGAAAATTTCGATTTTTGTTAGGCAAGTGAAAAGTTTTATCTCTTTAGATTTCTTATATTTCTTGTAGATATGGAGGTGATGTCGTAGGAGCAATGATTCAGAAGCCAATCCGACCTGCGCCTGCTTGTGTAGCTCACGCCCTTTTTCTTGATCAGAGTCACGACAATCCAACACCTATTGAGGTACTGGCTGAATTATTTACCACATTTTTGACTTCAAGTAAGTATACTTTGTTTTACAAGCAGCAGTGCTATTCTAACGTCTTTGTCGTGAATCTAATTATATCCCTTTCTAGACTCGTTCCGTATTCGATCTGCTGCCAACAGCTGCGATGGTGTCCATGGCATCGTGTGCACTAGGCTCAACAAGAGGATATGACGAACTTGTCAGCCATGCTGTACGGCCACAATTTTTTGAAAATTCCTAGTTTCGGATTCGCTGGTTCGAAACCAGAATCACTATTCTACGCCACATTTGAGAATTTCTTGAACTTTGGTATGTTAGGTGAGGACTCGCGACGCATTGCATTAAGTCGAGGAGATGACTACTACCTAAGAGAAAGGCGACGCGGATCCTAGTGGTGTGGTGGTGAACGCGTAATTTACGGGGAAAGGGTAATGGCGTGTTTGGTTCCTACCGCAGATATCTGTGGCTCTAGGTTTTGCGAATATCGCAATATCATTCTAATCGTCCCAGTGTTTAGAGTGCAATAGAGCTCCATAACGCTGCCCAAAGCCGAAATTGCGCAAAGAAAGATCACGCTGAGCATTTAGTGGTTTGCCGTTAGTTTAATCCATGGAAGCTTCCCGAATGTCGACAAAACGATCATTGCGAGAAAGTATGTCTAACAAATCGACGAATTGCTCCAGAAACTTCGACCGCTGCTCTTCCATTGCTGAACAGAAAAGCATCAATCCCTTACGATGACGCGTTGTACAACCGACGCTGCAGAAGTTGAACGAGCTGGACTACGAAACCCTGCCTCATTCGCCATGTTCTCGAGACCACACGCCTACTGAGTACCACTTCGTCAAGCCTGCCAAAAATTTTTTTTTTACTAGGAATGCTTCATAAACCAAGCCGATTCCAAAACCGCCTTCAGCGACTTTAACACCTCTAGAAGGCAGAATACTATACAGCTAATATACCTAGGATTACTTTCGTTGACGAGAATGTGTGGGTTCTAACGGTTTTTGTTCCAATTCGTAGAGTTTTTTCTGAGCTGAGGCATGCCACTTCAAAAATAGGGGTTGAAATTGGACATTAATTTCTGGAGGACTTAGTGGAAAATTGCGGAGGTAATCGCAACAAATTTTGATAGGATGTTTAATAGAAGTTCGCAAACGTATATTGGTAACGTTTAGCTTACCTATTGCACCATTTACGGTACTACTGCAGATTTTTACAACGTCTGTTGAGTCTTTATGTTCAGCTTTTTCTGCTTTTATCCTAGATGCAATTACAGGCGACCAACATGCCACACCTTCTCTATGGTCTATTCTCTCAGTTCGAACCACGATTACCTTTTCCGGAGTCTCGCGTGTTACACACTGCACCACTGAGGTCTGGCCCGGGGTCCAACTTTTGCGAATATATCAGCATCGTTATGGTTGTATTTCATATCCTACCTTGCTGTGAAGACTTATAGTAGGCAGCAAATAAAAGATTATAAAAGGTTAATAAAAGGTTAGGTTAAGGTTAATAAAAGGTTTTCTCAGTCTTCAAAAAACCTTGCCTGTGATGTGAAGTTCCAGATAAACGTTGTGTCAGAAAAACGGCTTTATGCGAAATGGGGAAGCGAAACGAACAGTAAAAGCGGAATCGTTGAAGCACGGAGAATCCTGAATGATTTGCATGTTGCACTGGCCAAAGCGAATTACACACAGGTGTGGTATTTCTTAATCACCTCTTTCCTTCCTAGTCTTTCAGACACTTAAATGGTAATTTGTTACCTTTAGTCGCCCTTTAAAAATACGACCAATTTTAGGTGTTCGTTGATCAAATGAACCCCGACATTGTTGGTGTAACAAGACATAACCCTGTCACCCACGACACTGTTGTTGTTGTTTCTCATACTGCTTTCGACAAAAATCAGATCCATAGAGATCGAATGTCTCTAAAGCGAATTCCAATTGGAGGTGAGCTCCTGAATAGTGGGATGTCCCAGCTTTTGGGAAGGTGAATTGTATGCGAATGTAGTATGGTTGTGTTTTTACCTTCTGCTCCCTTAAAACTCTAATCTGAAATGTCAAAATGTTCATTTTTTAAGACCTCGTGTATAATTTATGTTTTATACCAGAATTATAGAAAAATGATGAAGTAGCTAGTAATTTACGTTTTTCTTTTCCAAAATTTGTTCGCTACTTTTCTTCTATTCCGTAAATTTAGCTGAACACACTCGTAATCCACATTGGCTTGGCAGGCATTCTAGAAGAGATTTGGTTTTGCAGGCATTCTAGAAGAGATACTCTTCGAGATGCGCTTCGATCAAGAGTCTTCGGAACCCATTCCAGGTGCCTGTAATCTTCTTTCCATGAAACTTTCTTTTGGTCGTTCTCGTTTCTCACTATTAATTATACTTGGATACTTTGATGCTCCATCTTTACTGGTTATGCGGGCTCCAGCACAGTTTCCATTTTTTCGGAGCTGGTTTGGCCATTGTAGTTCGCTGGAGTCCAGAGGTCACCCTAGCCACTGCCCGGATCGTAACCACCACAGGCAGTAGCCGCCTTTGTGGATCAGAGGGAGATTTGCCATCACGCTGCTAATTTGGTACCAGAATGATGGCGAATCCAGGTTTTGATTTACTCTTGGCTGGGCTTCCTAATGGAAAAGCCGGACTCTTTCGCAGCTTGGGAAAACCTGTTGGGAGGTTGAACTACCCCGCTGTGCATAGCAATCCGTTACCCTGGAACACTTCCCACTCGCGATCAGGCAGTAAACAATTGAGAGAGTCTCATTATTGCAAAGTCTAACCATATTTTCTTGCTTTATCATGCCTTCATCATTATCGGCTTTGATAAACAATGCGGTCAATTATCATAGCTATGTGCGCGTGTGACGCAGTGGATGGAAGCACTCTGAGGTACATACGTGGTGTCGATCCCGCGCCCGTGGCTCACCAGGCCTTCCATCTCTCCAGTGTCGGCAAATTGTTGCCATACTTGCCTAGGAAGATAACAGCACTGGATAGACACACCGGTAGACCACTGCGAATCATTGTAAAGGCCAGATATGCACTTAGTCATCTCCAACGATGCTTGATGAAGTCGATTTCATGGCGCATCTCTCAGAGACTGATCAACGCCGAGAGCTCTATCATTTTTTTTATTATGGCTATTTTAGAAAACAACGACTTACTTTTGGGCCTATCGAATTATACAGTGCATATTAGACAACATATAGCTCCGGATAAATCCAGCATGTGTGTTGTGCATGGAAACGAAAATGGTGCCATAGAGATTACTGATTTTCCAAGTGGATCAGTCATTGGGTTCAAGTAAGTTTTCAATCCTTTTGATGTTGTCAGGCATGGTGATGATAAGATGCCCTTCTGTGAGTACCACTAACAAATTTCCCATGCCTCAGGCCTACTTTTTTGAGGATTTATCGTAATGTACCAATGAAATAGGCGTTTTCAGGATTCGTTTGACAAACTCGGCACTTACAGCTACCGGATTAATTAGAGCAATTATCGAAGGGAATGATGAACTCGAGCGTGGTTCGTTTCACAATCCTTCTTCAACTACAAAGTGAGAACAATTCTGTTCTGTCGATGTTGCAAAGTTCGCTTTTTTGTGTACATTTTGCTGACCTGTCGTTGGTTCAGTTCACAAGGTCTGTTTATGGTCTAAAAGATCTCTACAAAACGTATTTTTGTTCTCATATTCGTCTTCTAACATGTTTTGTTTGCGTATCAAAGTCACATTCGAGTTCTTACTCTTTAGAGATTGCACTGAATCTGTCTTCCGTTTCCTTACAAGATTACAATCGGCTATTGTTCATATGTGATACCGAAGGAAGTACAGAGATGGGCCAAGGATCATACGAGATCCCCTGTCACGGAAAGCTCGTTTACTGCGGCCTGCAAGGTGGGCATGTTTTCCTAGACTTTATCTTGTTTCAGATATAGAAAACTGTTCCATCGTTCCATTATAGGTTTAATTCCGTTGCTGAATTTGATTCGAACCAATAACGACCTCGGTCACCCTCTGTGTGCTAATCTTCGTGACGGGACATGGTTGTGTAAATACATATTTTCACGTACGGCGAAGTATCGTGGGCTGCAATTTGTACGTTTTTTAACGTATGGCTTGGGTTACAGTTTCTTGAGAACACAGTTTAACAAGCACTATCACATCAATTATTAAAAAATTCCTTATCTTCCAAGGCAAGAAATATATGTTTAGAAAATATGCGACTCGCCTAATACGTTCTAGGTATCCTCTATGTTCATTGTTGTTGTTGATATTGGTTACCCAGTGAAGTTACTTCATTAGAGCGCTACTGCTCTTCATATGACTCGATGCGGTTACTAGTAGACACAAAGAACAATTGTGGACAATCGAATCAGATCACTCCCCTATTCGGCTCTGAAGAAGGCGGAGGCGCCAAGTAAAGTTTCCTTTTTTGTCAGCCTCGCGTTAGGTTATCGACGAAAGTGCGTATTGATTAGTCATCCCGAGGTTAAGGGAAAGTCAAATCATGAAATATTGGTCAGAAATTTCACTTTCTGCGTTTGAGTCGAGCAGACGAATTGTGCTTCATTTCGATTGAAAGTTCAGCAAGAATGAACAGGGAAAAAACTGACGACAGTGATGAGAACATGTTTTCTCCGTTATACAATCTATAGAAAGTGAATCAGAAGGTTAGGACAGAAGTGTTGACCATGCCGCGGTCAGTGGTGATAACGCAGTAATAGACAGTGCGCTACCTCATGACTGCTGGATTTTTATTGACAGCGAATTTGAGCTAATCTGATTGGCTCATGCGAGAACAACAAATAGAGAATTGCCAAGAAAAATATCCGGCAGAAGATGAGGTGAGAGCCATTGAAGGCCTACAGTGAAAGAAGTATAACGCTACTGAATTGGGAGAATTAACAGAACGTCGTGTTGTCTACAACCCATGATACTCCCATTTTAGCAAAGTCATTAAGGTTGCAAAATGTGAAGAACGTTTGGACAAATGGGTTCAAAATTCAGCTCTATATAGGTTTGATTCCGGAGAACAAAGTGCCTGCACCGTCAGTTGTTCTTGGATGAGACTGAAAAAAGAATGGAGAAGTTGTACTGAATGCTATAAGAACTTAATAAAGTACAACTTCTATAATGCTAAGATATTTGCAAATCTCCGGAGCGCAGGTGTCTGCGGTGGGGAACAAACGCGTTATTGTCTTTTCCGGGGAGTAATGCGTTCACCACCATACCATGTGAGTCCTTCGCGTCGCCTGTCTCTCAGCTAGTTCTATCGCGGGGTTATTACATGTGCTACGAGTGGTATTCCTCTAAAGAGAACAGAACCAGTTTCATTCGTGTTTGGATCACGTTACTTAGAAAAATAATTAGTGTTAACTTCTTATTTATTGCCTACTACTACTTTTCACGGCAGGGTATTATGTGAATTACAATCACAATAATGCTCGGATATTTGCAAAACTCCGGACGTGTCTCCGGTGAGGACCGAAAATGCTATTATCCTTTCCGGAATCTAACGCGCTTACCACTACACCATGCGGGGTCTTCGTTTCGCATTTCTCTCGGCTAGTTTTATATCTGCCAGTGCCATCAGCAATCACCCGTCAACGGGATTGATCTGGAGAGCCCGAATCGCCATTGAACTGAGTTAAGCTGGGGCTATAGTTATAACGCCTGAAACTCAGGCGAAATGAAGGACCTGCATGGTGTGGTAGTGAATACGTTATTCCCCGGAAATGACAATAACGCGTTCGTTCCCCACCGCAGACACCTGCGGTCGGGAATTTCGCAAATATCTTAGCATTATAGAAGTTGTATTTCGCAGCATACCCTGCCATTAAAAAGAATAGGCGGTAAATAAAAACGTTAAGTACTCCAAATTGTCTGCAAAAGGTGCCAGCAGTATTAGGTACACCTTATGTTATTGTGTGGAATATTTCAAAATATGTGTTATTTAGCGCGTGAAAAGTGAACTGTGTGAAGCTGGTAGGTGCAAGTTGTTAATGTAAAGAGGTAGAATTTAAGGACTTAAGCATGTAAAAAGGATGTTTTTGAACATAATCTGCAAAGACCGTTGTGAAAAGGCGATGAAGGAGAACAATAAATTTTGCCAAAGATGAATTCTAGACTTTGTTGAATGTGCACTGTGTCAAAGCTTCATCCTTTTAAATGCTGCATTCATATTTACTTACTTGGTTACATGGATGACTCTTCTTCACTAGTTGTGTGGGTCCCAGCATAATCTACATTTTGTCGGAGATTTGCTGGTTTAGCCATTGTGGTTCCCCGCAGTCTCGAGGTCAGCCTATCCAAAATTTGCTCCAAGTCGTAATCACCACAGGCAGTCGTCCTTGCGGATCAGAGGGAGATTTGCTAGGGAGATAGGTACATAAATTTCCTTGGTGGTATACCATCGTGGCAACGAAATCTCCTTATGTGTCGAACTTCCGCCTTGAAGTGCAGCAACCATGCAGATCCACTAAAGCGTTCAGATTAAAAGAATAAACTTGTCCGTAAACGTCTTTCGACAAATCATTAAAAGGAGAGGGTAGATTTTGACGAACCATGCCCTTTATTGGTCCAGCTTGTCACTTGATTAGGAAAAATGTATGAGAAGATTTGCCACCAAAGAAACCAACGGAGGTAATATGCATTAACATGACTGCATACGGTCCATTTAGCCGGATACGATCCATTTTACCGCATACGGTTGCGTGTGTGTGTGTGTGTGTGTGAAATGGTGTTGTTTTCAATTCACTCAGAGAGAGACCTGGATCTTGATTTCGACAAGTCCCAAATCGGTGGATATTTGTTTGCTTCATACATTTACACTTCACCATGTGAGCTAGTGGGTAGTCTGATACTTTTTTTACTATTATTTTTGCCTCTTTATACTATTATTTTTCCCTCTTTTGAATTCAGATATACATGTGAAAATATGCTTTTTGCTACAGCATCATTCCTACCGTAAGATGGCGCGATTAATATTACTTATTTCTTTAAATTTAAATTCCTTTCAGTTGTCATCATTCTTCCACGCCATTCTCGCGCCTCTAGATGATGTTCCATACTACTTGCGTCCGTGTTACTTTGAAGTTATCATCACATATATTCACAAACAGTGCAGGTTAGCACTGCTGAGGAAGTTATCTCCGTAAGTTAAACTCTCTTTACAGGCTTTGTGGTCAAGGTCTAACTGTCTTATGTTCAGAACAATATCTTCTTCCTCTGCTTTGGTCCGTGCACTCGCTCTTTCGTCTGTATCATTCGTGGGTCACATTTCGTGTGCCGCTTTGGCACCTTTGCCTGAATCGATTAAACTAGAGGACGATCATCCATCATCTTTAGCGGCTGGTGAGAATGTTAACCCATAAGGCCTGATGCTTATTTTTTGGTTTTTGGTTCTGGCTACACAAATTATTTTTCTCAAATGGTTTTCTGCTTTTAAGTCGGTTTTGGATTGAGGTTGATGAGGGACAGGAGGCGAAACTTATGTTTTTCATATTATTAACGGAAACGAGGCAGCCACAAACATCACGAGGGAACGGGTTACGCAGCCCTATCCTGTTCTACGAAATTTGGGCTTTTCAGTTGGTTCATTATTCGAAATGTGGGCCTAAACAAAAAGAGGCTTTAGGCTTTGTGATTGCCAGATATTCCGATAGATTGATTTTTCTTCTCCGAGAGTTTTTATCAACTATGTACGGCCAACCCAATATTTGAGAAACTTCTTCAAGCAAACAGTTGCAAGAATTATTGTGATTCTTTGAATATTGCTTAAGGTCTTCCGCACTTCACCGTAGGAATCTGGCGGAACTGGGGCCGCGACACGTTCATCGCTCTTCCCGGTTGTCTGTTATCTACAGGCAGGTTTTATGATGCTAGGTTAGTTTGCTATTATCCTAGATGAGATTCCACTAGCTATTTTAGATTCCTTCCCTTTTTTCTTTCAGAAACATAATTATTTCGTATGCCGGATCCCTGCGTCATGGACTCATCCCGAATCTCTTAGCTGAAGGAAAAGGTGATATTCCCTGTGGTCGGCTTAAACAAATAAATATATGTATATATGTACATCTACATATATACATATATATATATATACATATATGTTATGCAGACGAAATATTTTTATATCACCCTCTTTCACGTCTACTGTTCGGATCCCAGAATTTCTCACATTCGATTCGTTTCCTCGTATCCATTGTCCACGAAGATCTTCCGACTTTTACGTGTAGTTTCGGTTGCTGCTTGATGATTTCCATTTCACTTTGAATGTCGTAGAATGCTGGTCGAGTCGATTCTCCCTGGAGTCTTGAGGTAACTCGGCTGGAGCGTTCCCAGTTAGATTGCAAATAGTGATTTTTTCCTGGACAGGTCCGGTACCAATTTCCCGACCCCGGACGGATGAGAGGCTTCGTTAGCTCGGAGCGGAATCGAACTACCATCATGCTCGTGATTACGGACATCACTACCACTGTGGCTATGTTTCGCATAAACTCCTTCGTACATAAAGAACGAAATTTCTATTTTTTACTTTTTTTTAATCTTGGATCCTAGTTTGCATTTATTTCTAATCAGGAGCCCGATATAACTGCCGTGATGCTGTGTGGTTCTGGCTCTATTCCATTCAGCGCTATGTAAAGTACGCTCCTAAAGGCCAGGAGATTTTAAAATGTCCTGTAAGACGAATCTACCCCAAAGATGAAACAATTTTTGGAGAAGAAGAGAGGGTAGGTTTGCAACTTACTGCATCTTCTGAGAAAAAATAGTGCTGTTTCCTGAACTCATGTTATTATTCAAAAAAGCAAGAGAGACATCTTAGCAAGAGGTTCGAACGCATTCAGGAAGAGCCGTTGATTGATGTGATGTGCGAAGCACTGGAACGTCATTTCTGTGGAATAGATTTCCGCGAACGTAACGCCGGACCTCAAATCGATGAGCACATGAGGGACGAAGGTGCGATTCTCTTGTACTCATGCGACACGCCTATTTTATATCGTTTTTTCCATGTTTATTGATTTCTTGGACAGTTCAGCAGTTGCTTGCTTGAAACTCTAATATATTGCTACTCTTGGGTACTCATACGGCCCGTCCTCACTAATTGTGTAGGCCCCAGCATATTCTCTATTTTTCGGAGTTTTGCTGGTTTAGTCATTGTCACCAGGGTCCCGCGGTCAGCCTGGCCAAAGTTTGCTCCAGGTCGCAGCCTTGTGGATCAGAGGGAGGTTTGCTCCCATGCGATTAATTTGGTACCAGGACGGTGGTGGATTCTGGTATTTTTATTTATATGATTTTATAAACTGATCTTCTTAAGCTGACGCGAGGTTGGTACAGATCTTCGTTGTCGTTGTCGTTGTCGTTGTTTTTGATGTTATTGAACGATGGCTGACGTTTCGGCGACTTCGCCTTCCTCAGAGCCTGGACGTACTTTATGTTAGAATACTTTTTATTATTCGGTGGAAAAGAAGGTTAAAGTATTAATGAAGATCAAACTTTCAAATAGACGCCATATTGAACAGAAAGGCCACTCACCGTAATGTTACGTGCGGGACTGGCCCACACGTAGTTCACGCGAGCAAGACACGCCCTGGGGTCAAAATATCATTTTGAAATAGGGCGCCAGGTCACGCGTGATAGTGAGGCATTCGTCCTTCCGGTTCATCTTTGGATTTTTGAAATTTATCCAAAACGCCTCAAGAGTTTTGCGCGTTGATGTTTTTGATTACTGCGCTAGGATCCGCACATTCACTTCAAAATCATCGCCGTTGTGCTTTTGTGCCCTATGCGTACCTAGAGTGGTGTTTAAACGGATTTTAGCTTTCCCATCTAGATGTTCTTTTATGCGGACACAAAGTGGTCTACCCGTTTCCCCAATATATTTCTCGCCGCATGCATTACATGGGATCAAGTATATTATACCTAAACTCATGCAATCCCCGTCTCTCCCGTTAGGACAGATCATACAGTTTTCTGAGCTGCACAAACGATCATAGAGACGGTTTCGAACAAACTGGCGGCGTAGGGTATTGGGTGGGATGTCAACAATCGTTACATAATTTTCAAGACCACTTTTTCTTAAGCACTTTTTAATGGCGTGACTTACTTCATTTGATATGAAGGGCAGCTTAAAGGGGATCCTACTTTCGCCTGAAATATTATTTTGGAAAACTACTCAGATTCTGATATTGGTTTACTCTTATCTGGTCTTCGTGATGGAAACGCCGAACTCCTCAGATTGTGAGACGTTGCCTGGATTATAAATCCCCACCTGTACGTCGCAGCCCGACACCCAAGATCACCTCCCATCCACAATGAGATGGTGAACTGTTGGGAGGATATTGCTACCAGTAAGGGGGAAATTGGAGATTTATGTGAAACATGTATGAAAGCGTTGTCGCATTATTTAATGAACATTCTCATTAAGGCTTCAATGTGAAAGCATTCGTAGACCGTGATACTGGCTTCATCCATGGCGGTAATCGATGGAACTGTGGAACGTGGATGGATAAAATGGGAAGCAGCGACAAGGTTACGTTGCACTAGCTCCTTATAAAAGTCAGTCAAATATGGACATATAATCTCTATAAGGTCATTCAATTGGAATGCTCTTTTTATTGGATTCTTCATTATGAACGAATTCATTTCTAATCATCGCGACTTTTAGATATTGAAGAAACCGGACGAGGTCCTCAAAAGGTGCATCTGGAAAAGCTAACATTCTATGAATAATTCGCTGTTTTTCTTGATGAACAAATACGATCTCGTTACTATGGTATTTATTAATACGCAGTAGCTGATATTACGGTGGTTTCGCCTTCTCTGGAGCCTGGAAGAGTCGAATTGACACGCGGTCCACTTAGTAAAACACTATCGTAACCTCAGCAGGCAAAACAATACATAATTGACTAATCGAACAGTGGACAGCTTCATTTAAACTCTCACCGTTCTGCTATTCTTAAGTCATCTGGTTGGTATTAGAGACCAGCCGGATCGAGTCTTACATGTGTAACACATGTAAAGTCTTGGAGCGTTTTGAATATACTCTAAAAATCCAGAAATGAACCACAAGGAGTACCTTGATAACGTGTGGTTTTGCTCCATATCTCAGATCGGCTTTTTGATCTGAGCCACGCACACTGCTTACCACGTATGACTCCGTGCAGTTGGTTTATAATAACAACCGGGGGACTTAAGAACAGCAAAACAGTGAGTGCTTAGATTACGCTAGTGTTTAACTGGGTATATTGCATGTCAATTCGACCTTTCCAAGTTCGGAAGAAGACGAAACCACCAAAACGTCTGCTACTCCGCGTCAATAAGTACCCTAATAGCAACCTCGTGTTTGTTCATCAAAAAAAAACCAGTGAATTATTGATCAATGCCAAGGTTAAGAGAAAGTCAGTCTTGGGGTTCTACGAATAGTGCGTCTTCCAGGCTGGGAATCGTGGGGAACCGGCAACACCTCGCGATGGAGCTGCAGTGGAAATTCAAGGTCTGGCGTATAGTGTATTGAGTGTTATGAGTGACTGGGCAAGTTCTGGAGTCATTGAGAGGAGCGGAGTAACTCGAGGTTCGTCGGCTCAGCTTCCTCTTCTTGAAGTCGTTTTTTAGCTACACTTGTTATCAGATGGCGAATCATGGACATGGTCTCAGTGGGCGACGCGGATTAAAGAGAATTTTGAAAAGCACTTCTTTGTGGATAGCAATGAACATGGAGAATTCATCAACCGGAGGAACATTGTGAAAGATACTGTGGGCTCGTCTGTTGGCTTCTCAGATTTCCAACTCAGATGTAACTTCACTATTGCACTTGCTACGGTATCTTACTATTATTTCCCGTTTCAAAATTCATTTTAACACAGAATGGACGATTTAAATCAGTTCCAGTTCGTGCGTGACCGAAAATAGCTGCTTTTTAACGTTAAACAGTGATTTCTGGGCCCATAACGAAATCTGTTGAATGATGTCAAAAAGGAAAAAAACTACTAGGTTCTACAAATATTTACCAGCAAAGATGAAACACTGAATTTTTGTACCCGAAAAAATGCTTTTTTTCACATTTTGTTTTGAGAATCATATCATGCCTAGCTTCGTTGGAATTGCAAAAGTTTAAATCACGTTTTCATTGTTTTGTATTTTAAAAATTTGATTTTTGAACAGTATATATTTAAACTATTTAAAACTAGATTGGAAGGAAATTTTGGGAGAATTGCAAATACAGCAAGCCGCATGCGGCGCAGTGGTTCGGAGCGCCGTGCAACACACGCGGGATCGATTCCTGCGCTCCAGGCCCACCAAGCCTTCCATCCGTCCTGGCTCGGCAAATTTGTACCAGACTTGTCTGGAAGGATAGCAGCACCGGCTCGTTCATCGGTAGACCACTGCGAGTCATTGTAGAGGCCAGATATGCATTAAGTCACCTCCAACGATTCTTAATGAAGTCGAATACGTGGCGCATCCCTCAGGAATTGATCAAGGCCGAGAGCTTTATCCTTTTTTACATATAGAGCAATAAGGCTCTTCCGTAAATGTCTTGAGTGCTTAACTCCTTAAATATCTGAGTAGTTCACTTGAATCACCTGCATCAACTGTTGTCCTGTTGACTGTCGAAGAACTCGATCTTGCGCAGTAAACGTTCTATTTCTCTATGTCGAGTGCAACACTAGCTCACTAGGGTCTGCTTGCTCCATGAACTCGGTCATCATGCCTTCTTTCTAGAATTTTCCTGAAGAACATCAAGCGTCGTTAGATTTGATTGAATGCGTATCTGGTCTATACAGTGATCCGCGGTAGCCTACAGATGTATCGATTCTGTGCTGCCGTGCTTCCAGACAAGTATGGTACCAATTTTCTGACCCTGGAGAGATGGAAGGTCTTGTGGGTCTTGAGGACGGGATCCATCCCATGTGCATTGCAAGATGCCTCTAACCACTGCGCTATACGCCCCCCGTGCATTCTATAACTCTGAATAATCTTCCATCCTCCTTATTTAACGACAGGTTTCTGGCGCATACGTTAAAGGAAGGAGAATCACGGAGTCGAAGTGGGTAAGGAGTCGAGTGTTTTTTATTCTCCTCTTTATATCGTCGGTGCCCTTCAAAGCTCCCCAAGCCGCTCGCTTCCTCCTGTTCAATTCTGGATCTAAGTCGTTCATCATGTTTATTTCCCAACCGAGGTACACGTAGATGGGGTATTCGGAGGTATTCGTTCGTTGAGCATAAATGGGGCATCTGAAATGAATCAATTTCTCATGAACATCTTTTCGTGGGGTTTATCCGAAGGTTAATTTTTCCATAGGCTTTATCAAAGTCGGCGACCATTCGTTCCGCTTGGTTAATGTTTGGTGTTATAAGAACGATGTCATCAGCAAATCGAACATGTTATAATTGCCTACCATCGATTTTCCCTTCCATATTGCCCCATTTCAATGCTGGTATCTCGTTCTAGAGGATGGAGGTAAATAATTTTGGCAAGATGGTATCGCCTTGCCTAACTTTTCTATTGGTATTCGTGTTATTGGTTAGAAAGTTCTGTATAACTCATAAAGAATCTTTATACACTGAATACGGACACCCTGGCTCTCCAGGGCTTCAGTGACTACTTCACTGTCAACTCTTTTAAGTGGTTTCCTTAAATCGATGAATCTGAGACAGAGCGGTTGCTTGTACTCTCGCAATACTTCAGCGAGTCTTGTTATCGTGTGGATGTGGTCCACTATACCGAATCCTTTTCGAAATCCTGTTTGCCAACATGGTGGATTTTGATCTAGTGTTTAGGACGACCATAGTGAAGAGTTTATACAGACATTGAGCAGATTGTCGCCGATATCCTGGTGGGTACTCTTTTTGTACAGTAACACGGTCTTGTTGGTCTTTCATTGAACAGAACCCTTACATTCTAACAGATAACGTGTGAAAAGTCGAGCCAGTATGTTGATGAGGACTGGTGGAGAGTTTCTCAGGGATCAGGTGTTGTTCGATTCTTCAAGTCAATCCGACGGCGTCGTACGCTATCCTTCTTGTCTGCACGATCAGGTCCTCTATAAAGGGCTCAAGTGCAAGTGTGCTTTTATTGTAGGTATAGTTCATCGCCTTAGAAATTCGCAATTTAGGAAGCTTAGAATGGCCCTGAGATTTGAACAGCATCTTCGTACTCGTCCTGCCTAGTGTTGCCGTATCGGTGCTCTTTCGTGGTCAGGTTAATGAGGCCCATTTATATCACTGTGTTTTGCATTTGATACCCACCTATAACTTACTGAGCTCTAAACATGGGATCTGGATATACTCACACATACCTTGCTAGTATCTTCCAGAGCAGACAAAAAGCTTATTTGTTGCAGGCGACTCGTAAACACCTTCCTTATACCTCCTAGTTACTTGATTGCATGGGTTTCACCAAATTGACTCATGGAATAAAATCGGTATTAAGGGGAATTCACCCACGCATGCATGCATGAATACATCCTCGTAGACGGAGAAGATATGTGCCAAATCGGCACACTAGAAACCCCTTGTCCATCTCCTGTGTCTACCTGTGCCTCAGGGAAGCATAATGTTGTTTTTGGTCCGAGATTAGTCTCCTATCCACCACTGGGGAGGCGCTACGTTGCAAGAGGACTAGCCCGCATGGGATTCACGTCAGCGAGAACCGCGGCTTCAAATAATTGGTGAGAATTTGTGGGAAAATCATTCTAGTTCTTTATGTGTTGACGATAGATTTAAAACATTAATTAGTCATTGACCAGAAAAAATTGTTTTAGTTTCAATATTGTAAAGACGCCATGCAATACACACGGGGTCGATCCCGCGCTCCAGGCTCACCACGCCTTCCATCTCTCCGAAGTCGGCAAATTGTACCAGAATTGTTTGAGAGGATAGCAGCACACTCTATGAATGGGTAGTCCACCACAAGTTACTGTGTAGGCCAGATATGCATTCAATCACCATGTTAACCATGCTTAATGAAGTCGAATGCATTGCGAATCCCTCAGGGATTGATCAATGCTGAGAACTTCATCTTTTATCTTTTATTCGCAAATTAAAAAGACAATGTTTGCATTCTAGTATGTTCGCTAATTACTTATTTTCGCCCAAATGCGTCCACTAATTTGAAATCCACTTATAAATTCGAGGGGACATTGGATAACGAATTTGCTACCAAGGCACTCACTCCAGAAAATGAGAATTTCTTTCGAACCTCTTACTGCTCGTACTAGTGTTGCTTTACTGTGAATTGAAGTTTGATTTACTGCACCAGTTTTGAGGCTCCAACCTTGCTCGATCCGCATAAAGCGTGGATGGCTCTCGACATGGCAAAAAAGCATCTCCTCGGTCCGATTGGCATCAAGACTCTTGACCCAAGGTGTTCTTTTTGTAATTTATCCTTCGAAAACAAAGTGAAAATTTCCTCATTGTTAAGTGATTGGGCTTACAATGGTTATTACAACAATGACGATGACGGCTTCGAGAAGAAAACAGCCAAGGGATTCAATTACCACCAGGGGCCGGTAGGAGTTATTTTGTTGCTGAGTATGTTGTAAACAAGCAAAGGAATAAGCTGAGATTTCTAGGAATGGGTATGGGTTGTCGGCTTCTATTTGCGTGCTCGTCTTGCTGTTGGAAGCATATTGGGCGGATCGCACCTGGAATCGGCTATGAAAGAAGTTCAGTCGAGATTAGGCAACTATTATAGACATATAACGGTGTGTTCCAACCTACATTTTTTAATCAACAACGGTTACATTGTCAATAATTAAGAGTTCTCCATGGAGTTCATTGCCGGAGCTCACGAACAGTAACGGCTCGCACTGCAACGGAAGCTGCCCTGCCCAAGCATGGTCAGTCGGTTGCATTCTAGAGGCGTGCCTCGACTTTGCCAAGTTGGCATGTCCATCCAATTGAAGAATTTTGCTCATAATTCGATAGGTTCTATTTTTATATGTAGTATATACTTATATAGAACTATTGATGTTTTTTAGCAGATTTCAAGTTTCGATGAGTTCAAACTTACATATTAAAGAACTGTGAGGTTCCTAGAATTATGTTGTTGTTTCAAACTACTGTTTTATCGTTAAACTGTGCCGTTAAGACTTTTACTGCTAGGACTTGTGTAGAATATGAACTGCTCAATTTGTATTGATGGCTACAATTGTGTTACCTCTATGTTAGCGCTAAATAAAAGTGTGGAAAATCGTGCAGTTGTCATTGTCTTCTTCCTAACATTTAGGCGAATCGCTACATGTCAAACCTAACTGTTTCTAATGGGACAGATGAGCGCGAAAATGAAAGGCGTTCAGGATAGACTACAATTTTTCTGTCGTTGTAATCCACTAAAGCGTATGTTGCGCAGTGCTCAGATGCGCCCTGCAATGCACATGGGATCGATCCCCACGCCCAAGGCTCACCAAGCCCTCCATGCCTCCGGGGTCGGCAAATTGCCACCAGTCCTGTCCGGGAGAATAGCAGCACCGGCTCAATACATCGGTAGGCCACCATGAGTCATTGTAAAGAGCAGATATGTATTCAATCCCCTCCAACGATGATTAGTAAAGTCGAGTGCATGGCGCATCCCTCAGGGATCGTTCAACACCAAGAGTTTAATTAAGCTTAATTTAAGCCATTACGATCATTGATTTAAATGCTGTAAAGGTCGCGAACATCACTGCCGATCAGATTTCATTAAACATGAGAATAAATGGTTTGCGCTTACAAGCAATTGATAGGGTCTCGAAACCGGTGAGAAACATCGATATCCAAATATCTCAGCATCTTCCAGCAAGTGAGTGCGATTCATTCCTACGTGTCTTGTCACAGTGGTCATCGGTTTGTACTACTTATTACACTAGTCGCTGGTTGGACTAGAGTGAACCTATCGAAGTTTCTCTGTTCAAAATGGCGCCACCGAAGAAAAAGACTCGAGCAAAGAGAAAGGACATGACATACGAATGCGGTGAAGAACTGACGGGAGCAGCTGGACCAGCACGAAAAGTGGGTTTCTTCCACTGAAAGGAAAACGGTTTGTTTTTTGCATATGACCATCTTGATAGCTGATGATTTTGTGAAAGTAATAATATCTAAGGTTTACACAAACGTAATGTTTAGTTGAATATATGCACATCGTAGGTTTCACTACTTTCCCACGGCAATTTCATGCACAGTGATTTGGTCCGATAACAAGTAGCAAGTAGCCATATCTAGTTGGCACTAGATTATATTCGTCCTGTATTTTAGCCGGTTGCTGGTGCTAAACAAGCTCAGACTCAAGCCCAAGCAAGAAAAGACTTAACCGCAGATGTTGAGAAGACTGTCGACAACTACGTCGACGCGATGATAAGCCTAGGTAAACCGTTTAAACCCTTCACTGAGCTGTCTCGAAGTGTTTTAGAAGAAGCTCGCCACTACTACTTACTAGTTACTGATTACTTAGTTAGTCACTAATTGCTATTTGCATTTATGATAGATTTACGGAACTAATGAGGTTGAAGAAAATTGGGACATCCGAAGTTCGAGAGATTACTTGCTAAGAGACGTCAGAAGAACCACTGTACTGTACATTGATTCCGATGCGAAAATATGTGCTATACTATTTAGTCCTATACAATATGTGAATATATTGTTGTATGGGCACACTGATCAGTATTGATCGAATGGGCAACATGTTCTGCGTGGTCCCCACGAAGAAGTGATCTACGAGACCGTAACAGCGCATTTCACTCTTAGAATTACTGACATTTCAGGAATTGAAGGGCTACGGAAACAATATAAAGAGCAACTTGCGAATTACCGAGCGCCAGACGAAAAGTACAAATTCACTGCTTTTGAAGCGAATCCTGACAAAAACAGATATTTGGTGGGTGAGTGCCGACTGCGGATTTGTCGTTCAATTTTGCCACTGTCCGTTATTTCGAACGATAAAACCTTGAGAAGAATAGAAGATAGAAAACTATCTGAGAGACGGGCTAAACGAGGGACACGCATGCTGTGGTGGTGAACCAGTTAGCCTCCGAAAGGGTAGTAGCGCGTTCATTCCCCACCGCAGACACCTGCGCTCAGGAGTTTTGCAAATATCTCAACACCGTTATGGTCGTATTTCACTTAATGACCTGCCGTGAAAATTGTGGTAGGCAGCAAATGAAAAGTTAACATGGTAAAGATTTAACACCTAAACACTGGAAACTCTGACTTAGTACTATCTGGTCCTGTTGTGTTTCGTTCCCATGAGCAAAACTCGTTTAACTGTGACCTGTTACGAATGAATCAAGAACTTCTTTGGCACATAGGTAACCCTTAGCGCAGATACGATCTTCCCTTTATTCTGCCTTTTTTCCTTTTTATAAAACGACCTATCTCCGAAAACTCTAAAACAGTACCAGATGAAGATTTCACTTTTAGGACCCAGGCAAGAGAACATGTTTTTAATGAGGTATGGCAAATTTGGCACCGCAGAAATGATTCCGTATGATCGTCATGATACGTTAACCTATAAGGAAAGACACAGAGGTGCAACCCTTATCAACATGCAATTCAGACCTCAAAACTTCTGCTCGTTGCCTTGCATTTCTGCTGTCGTCCATGGAGTGTTCGCGTTGACGCTCATTTGCTTCACGTTGTCTGGAAATTGTTTCCAACTGTAAGCAGAGTTGTTTGTGCGTGGAACGAACACTTCGGTCGATCCTTTCGGTGCTATCTTCAGAAGTCGTTTTGATTCCCGTCCACTCCACCCACTCTCTCGTTCTTCCGTTCTGCCAGTCGTCGCCTCATCTCACTATGTATCATAATGGATAAAGGATAAAGCTTCAACGTTGATCATTCTCTATAGGATGCCCGACTGCATTCGACTTCATCAAGAATCGTTGCGGTGATTGGATGCGGTGGCCCATCGATGTATCAAGTCGGTGCTGTTATCCTCCCTGACAAGCATGTCACAAATTTTGCGGCCCTGGAAGGATGGATAGTTTGCTGATCGTGGGCACGAGACCGAACCAGTTGTCCATCTAGTGTGTATTGCACGGTACCCCTAACTACTGCGCTACGTGCGCCTCTATTATGATAGGCGCAGCAAAGCTTGTTTTCAGACATATTCCACCCTGTATCTAAACACATTTTTCGATGGTCTCAACTGCTAATGGAGATTTAGCGATGAATGCGCATGTTCATCTTCGAACAAGAAAACGCTCGGACGTCCTGCGTATTGCACACCTCTTCTATAGGCGGAATTTTCAGGCAATGCTTCTGTTGTTCATCGAAGGACTAGAACAATTGTTCTGTCGAATAAGTGAGCACGGCAGATGAGCGTTTTGGTTATCCTTCCTGCTAATTCGCAGTTCTTCCGTTTTTCCCACCTCGTCGAGTTCGATAAGCCTCGCCCCTGCTTCTACAGTATTCTAGAGAGCAGTTGAGTAACCTACACCTTTACTGCAATCCTTATTTTCGACACCGTGTTCTAGTTCTTATGAGGACTTCATTCTTACATTAAAGCCATAACAAATCTGTGAAAGGACGTTGAAAAATAGTAGTCGGTGCGGAGAACTTTCTCGAGATTTTTGTTCATCATCAACAGGATATGCTGATGAATACCAGCTGATGACAATGATTTCCTTCACATGACGATGTACATGTTGTAGGATGCTAAGAGGGCGTACAGAATTCCGCAAGAATCAACAAAGTGGGTAAAAAATGGGACAAAATGAAACCGTCTCCATCAACGTTAGGTAATGAAGCCTTATCATCTGTTATGATAAGGATTCCACCGTTTATCTGCCTACTTGTGCACTTCTATCTGTTAGCCTCTTCAAGGAGTTCCTATCGCTTTGGACACAGTCTGCATTATATGGAAGAACATAGAGGTCACAATCTGGAAGCGTGGATTGATATTATGTGCGCACAACCGAAAACAGTCTCTATGACATGCCATGAGTTATTCTTTGCTTCCCGCAAGCGATGGTTTGTACCTTCTTGACTGGCTGAATGTTGGTTGAGCATCTTTTTTCACTGGAGTCGCGAGGTAGTCTGGACAGGAACACGTTCCGTACAGGGAAGCGAGTTGCCCACCATCGAGGATCAAAGGTTTGCTTCCCTTAGATGAGTATACTCCACGGCAGCCGTGATTTCTTTGATGAAAACAAATATCATGATTGGTCACGTCATCGTTCGAGGGCGATGTAACAAATTGAAGGAACTACATAGCATCATCCCAAAAGTGAGCTAGGTTTTACTTCTGGAGAACCTGTACTTTTCAGATGATGTATGTCGTCCGAAAAGTCATTCTTTCCCCAGAAACACCACTGTTTTCTGATTTTAGTTTTCGACGGAGTTTTAATTCCAAAATATGAAGTGGGAAAACCTCGATGGTTCCGGAAACTGATGTCACTTTTGCCGGAGAAGAATTCTACTTGTGGGCGAAAATATACACATTTCAGCACACAATAAACCTTACTGGCTGGAATTAAAAGCTACGATCTTTTTAGAGTTTTTCTTGCCAGAGAAGTGCAAGTTTTGTTTTTATTAAATCAAGGTGAAATCCCGAGCTTCCGAGGCTCACAGCTCGTTTTCCTTCGTTCAGACTCGTACCCCAGGCAGAGAAGCGACTATGATTGACGGATGGGAGCTTAACAGACATGACGACATCCCCAGAAGCGTCGTCGCTGATGGGTTGCAGCCTTACCGCCACTCTCAGAAGGTCAGAGCTCACAGTCGTCGTCCGTTCACGAGGCAATCTTGGCTGTCAATCAACGGCCTTATCACAACTATGCAGGCTTAGAGTGACATGTAGAGGAATCTTCCGCGGAAGCTTCTCAATTTCACCAAGTATCATTATTGTTCTTGTAAAAGCAGTAAATTTTCAAAAACATCGCTGTCAAACTTAGTCAATTTAATACTGTAGCTCTTTAAATAACTGATGACGCCAGTATACTTCGCCTTTCCAGTACATTTCTTCCAGTCAATCACATACGCGGATAGTAACCATTATAATACGGAGTCAGTCATGAAACAAGGGCGCGTGTGGCGGAGTGGTTAGAGGTGCCTTGCAATACGCTCTAGATTGGTCAACGGTTCAACCTCGCATCTCGTGTCCAGGTCGAGTGCACGGCACATCCCTCAGCTATTGAAAAACGTAGGGCGTTGAGGCCTGTTATTCTTTTATCATCACAGAACAATGTTTTCACAAAGCCTTCACTAAAATTAAGCGTATAAAGGTGAAATGCTCAGGAAAAGGACCACAAGACAACAGAAATTCTCCTATTTATGTACGCCTTGAGAGTAAAGAAGTTTCTCGAACACACATCAAGCAGTGTTCGCAACTGCTAAATGTTTACTACTGTCGTCTACTGTGATAATGCATTAAGATCCAAATGAAAGCACAGTCGATGGAAATCCTAACGTAGAGTGGTGCTTCGCCTTAATGTTGGGTGGCCTGCAGTGCGTGGAGCTTCTCGGCATTCTCTACTAGCTTTAGACTTCCGGAGAAAATCCAGATGACATCCCTCACCGTCGAGCATAGCAAGGCGCTAGATCTCTGTGGTCTTGTTAAAAAATTAGTCTGATACTATATCGATAAGCGTTGTAAAATGTGTCTAGTTTATTAGTTGTCGTAACACGGTTCGTCGACATTCCTGTGACTTCCTCCCAGCACTATCCCCAATTCGTACGTTCTGAAGCACTAACTAACATCCTCTTCTTTCATTGTACATTTCAGACCTCCTTGGTTAGGGTCTTACTCTGACTTCAACAAGAATTCGATAATAGACTTTGGTCTTGAAAGTACATTGTAGTGCTATTAGTTTTTTGCCAAATAAAGAGCTGAATTCCAAGAAAAAAGACACATTTTTACAAATAGATAAACTCTATTCGGATCATTCTCTTGACTTCCAGTACTTTGACCTAACATGTTTAATTTTTCAGTGAACTAAATGATTATTTCTACTGATACTATAGTTGAAATTTTGTAGGATGTCGTCTGCTTAGACGAGACCAGAGTACGTCTAACCATGGACGTCCCACCTAGTACCGATTATATCCATGCGAATTGGGTTAAATTCGAAGGTCATGACAAGGTTTTCATAGCAACACAGGTCTTTCTTGCGCTTTGTATGAACTATTTGCTGTCTCGCTCATGTTTCACCTTCAGGGACCGCTTGATAATACGATCGAAGACTTCTGGCGAATGGTCTTCCAAGAAGGCTGTCCCAACATCGTCAACCTCACTAAAGTGGTTAACTATCACTGTAAACGAGACGAAGCTGACTGTAATTTAAACAGAAGGAAATAATTTAAACTATTGCCAGGAAAGTAAGGCCCGTGTGGAGCAGTGGTCGAAGGCGACAACTACAACACACACGTGAAATCGATCCCCGTGCCCATGACTCACCAAGCCTTCCATCCCTCCAGGGTCAGCAAATTGGTACCAGACTTGTCTGGGAGGATAGCAGCACTGGCTCGATACATCGGTAGGCTACCGCGAGTCATTGTTAGGGACAGGTATGCACTCAATTACCTCCATGCGATGCTTAATGAAGTCGTATGCATGGCGCATCCCTCAGGGATTGATGAACGCCGAGAGCTTTATCCTTTTACTTTATTATTGCCAGGAGGAGGCTAAAAAACAAACGAGGCAAAAAAGGAGGCCTTGGTGGCAGTAGACCAAATTCGTTATTTCGCAAATTCGTCTTAGGAGCGCAGCGGTAGTGATTCCATCAAATAGGTGCAATGCCCAGCTTTCACCCTACAAGACAACCAAGCCTCCGATTTCTCCAGAGTCGGAAAATTGTCAATAGATTTGTCTAAAGTCAGGTCACTCCCTCCAATTCACGTGAGAACGCCTTAATCGGACTACGTAAAATGAGGTTCAAAAGGGAAAAAAATGTATTATGTATGGTTTCCTGAGTCGAAGGGAGTGAAGAGAAGGGCCACCTTAAACTTACACATACAAAAATAGTTCTTGCTCATAGCGCAACCAAGATTTTAGTGTATTGAAGATGGAAAGGTTAAATCATCACAGTACTGGCCGCTTGATCCCGGTGCCTTTCAAAGCTTCGGGAAAATGTTCGTGAACACAAAAAAGGTCCGGTCCTTTCGACTTTCAGAATTCCACCGATATTTAGGACTGTACTATCAATTTAGGTGGAATCCGATGGAAAATTTCTCATATACACCGTTGAGGTGTTGCCTGAGGGCTGCTCTAACTCTAACATAGTGAAGGTTCATCTCTACTGTTTTCTCTAAACTCACATTCATTTAAACAGTGTCTACTTGAAGGTGATCCACATGACTAGTTGGCCGGATCGCGGTCTACCTATGAGTGGTCGGCACGTTCTGCGACTGATTCGGCAAGTGAATGTAAGCTGGTTTCGTTGACTAGAACAACAGCCGACACTCTGTGCCTTGTCAGAAGATCCTTGGGGAGCGCTTCGCACTTGTCGTTTAGCTACGAGGGCCACTTCCTCAACCTTTCCATTCTTGTGATTTTTTAAACTCATAACCATTTCATTACCCAGTTTACAATATTTTGTTGAACTGTTTCTTATCGACAAATTGTTAAAAGTGATATCACAGAGCTGCGCTAGAGGAAGGTAACGCAGTAGTAGCAATGCCGCTCATTAAGAGCAACGTGCAACCAACTGATCCCTTCGAGGTCAGAAATTCAGTACCACACTATTGCGGGACCAAATCACTCCTAATCCAGAAGGGAAGGCCCTATCATGGTTATCTAAGGATTCCAGAGAGGGTCGACTAGACCAGCATTCTACGAGTTTGGTAACGGACGTAAATCATAATAATGCTGAGATATTCGTAAAACTTGTACTCCAGGCCAGATCGAACTACGGTTACATTTTTCGAGGACCCCGTGTTACACACTGCACGACTGAGGCCCTTACTTTGCTTTCCTCTCAGCTAGTTTTTTACTTAACGTCGCCATTAGAAGTCACCCGTCAACGGAATTGATCTGGGGAGCACAAATCGGCATTGAACCCAGTTAAGCCGAAGCTAATGCCTACTGTAATTTTCCACGGCAGGATGTTATGTGAAATACAACCTTCAACAATGCTGAGATAACCACAAGAATACAAATTACAGTAGGCAGTAAATAGAAAGTCAACAGTGAAGATGTAAATCTTCAAGCAGGAAAACCCAAGCGGGAAAAGGTTCGAAGCTGTGTGGTGGATTGTGAAGGTGGATCATATGAGGAATAATGTTTACTAGACTTCAGTTATCGAACATCTTTACTCTCACTTACAGGTTATCCAGAAAAACGAAGGTCACTTAGCCCCATGTTATTCCTATACCATTCTGAACCACGCTATCAGTAAAACAAATTTCCGCAATTTATATCGTCCTAATTTCAAAGTGGAAAAAGACGGAGTGCCAGGGAAGAGTTCAGGCAAGATGTGATGTCTTAATCCTAACGGAACCTTAATCTTTAGGGCGATAAACTGGACAACGGACCGGTAGTGATGCATTGTTCGGCCGGAATAGGGCGGACAGGAACGATTATTCTGATTGACGTTATTCTGCGCCGTCTCTTCAGGGGGAAAGAAATAGACGTACGAAGCATTCAGTTTCTTCGAGGACTAGAACCCTCTAGACATTGTTTTTAGATGGTCGATATGTTCAAACAGCTACGAAATCAGCGCGCTTCGTGCATCCAGGTCGAGGGACAGTACCTATTCGTTGTCATCAGTGTTCTAGACTATATAAAGGTAATATCTAGAGGTTACAGTTCACAAACGATTAACCCACCATTAAGTGAACTCTTCAACCTCATCAAAAAGTAAATTTATTTCCAAAACAAATTTAGTCGGACTTTATCTCTCGGATATTCTGGCTATAATTGACGTTTTTCGCAGTGCCCGCCACATTCCAGTAACGCTTGACAATTTAACGATTTCTGTCAATTTAGCATCGGAAATTTCGAGAGGTTCGAAAGATCGGAAATAATTTGGTGGACGATCCCAACAGCTACAATACGGTTGACCACCGAATGAATTCAGTGGTCACTCGTAATGGTTCTAATGCTTGCTGTTTAAACGACGCCTAAGCTTCGACTCGAAGATATCCTTCCAGAAAATCGGGAAAAAACAATAGACAGGCCGCTTGAATGCTTGGTTACTTTCTCTAGAATTATGCTAGGGCTTAACATATTCGCGACGATGCTTGGGTTTCGTTTACTATCAATAACTCTTATTACTGATGCAACTGAGGACACTGAGGACTTCACTGGGTTATGGGAGTGTCTCTGGCGTCTCTCCTAAAGGCTATATGTGACTTTTCCAAAAAGTCACTTGCATTTGTATTCGTTTAAGATTCGGAATTATTATAAGTGTACATGTAGTTTGAGTTCATGAGACTTTCTACGCAATCTCCAGCGCTGCAGACATCAGCAAGTCATTCGGAAACACTATCCTGTTCTGAAGGAAAACTCATTTCTTGAACCAACTGATTGTTCGAAATAGGAGTCCATCGAAAAAAAAGGTCTCATGACTCGAGAAAACCATAATATCATTTCCGTAACATAGGAAACCTGCGACTTGTTGGCAAAAGATTATAGATTTTAGCAGTTTTCATTTGTATCGATCCCTACCGGCTATAGGGTCTGAATATGAAAATCAAAATTTTGGTCTTTCTTGGCTTACGGCCGTTAAATGCATATGTTGGTTGAACCTAACTAGAGCATTGTAACCTACAGACAATACATCAAATTAGATGGATTGAGCCTAGTTAGCACAATCACTCAATCCGTCGTTTAACCCATTGGTGCCTCAGAACGAATGGTTAGTCATGTTCCGTTATTAGCCACAAGCACAAGTGTGCCATTGACAATCGTTTCGCACTAATAAACAAATAAAATATATAGCCACAGATAATACCACTGCTAGCAAGTTATCGGTCCAAATGGAGAAAATCACCAACTTAGTAATCAGTAAAGAACGCAGGGGTAAAATGAGTTAACCATCATGACTGACCATCCGTGATCGCACTAGTCATGGCAGCATCAGTGTAAGCTCAATCTAATGGGCGCTACTCAGGATTTCTCCATTCCAGATAAAATTACCGAAATACAAAGATAGAGTGAACAAATTCATGGAAGACTTCAAAGCATCGTTGCCAGCAAGTTAGACTAACTTCCAGCCACTTAGAGTTTTGTGTCGACTTCTCCAAGATGATATACATTCCCAACTACGAAGATTACAACGAAAAAACACGATGCTGTACGTTCGGTTCCAGTGTTTACTTTAATGCTGATGGTAGCTATTAATTTGTGAGAATTTCAAATAAAACGATTTGTAGACTTTTCATGTTTTCATCCAACATTTTTGAAAAACTTCTCAATGCCTTCCCTACTTCAAACTGAATGCGCACGATCTACTCATGCGAGTTTTCCTTATTATTTCTCTATTTAACACTTAACTACAATGACGATTAGGCTGGCATTGTTCTTAGTAAGACTTATGGAAGAACATTTTCATGAAAACCATACAACAATGTATCCAACAAGTATCTCTCCGGTCATAAGGAAACGTTTTTTCACCAGAAATATATACAAGTTATAGCAAAACAAAACAAAATCCATCAAACTGGTTAAGCAAGGGCTTGGGAAGAGAACAAACAAAGAAAATATAAAATAATGGGACCATGAGATCAAGCATGGGATCGCAACATCAGTTCACGAATTCGCAGACTCACAGGCATCGATCCAATCTGAATACACATCGATCGGCTCCGAAAGATAATTGATTGGAGTCTGAAAATCCTCGGAGCACACACGGCACGATATGAATCCCACATTTCGTTCTCGGTCCCTAAATCAGACTGCTAAACATACAGACAAAATTACGCTAGACCGATTCGTCCATATCCTTTCCATTTATCGCTACGTGCTATTTTGGTGGCCTCGTATGACGTATTCCTTGGGGTTCACTGCAATTACAGTTTTATTCAAACTGCAAGCAACTATGTAGTGAAACAGGTGTGGACGGGGCCGCCTGATTCTACAAACGGTCTCGAATCGATTACTGGACTTTTACGATACCGCTACTAGCTCTTCTTTTGTTCACTACAACCACTCATTCACACATCATAGCGTATTTTTGCCAAGGTGAACGGCAAGTAGTCCAGTCGGCAATGACGCAGATGTAGCTGGATAATATCCGGAAAGATGCTATGAAAAAGAAATACTACGGCAAGTTGACTTACATTTTAACCTCACATACTCTTTCGTGATTACAAAATGGACAGTTGAACTGCGTTTCCAGTGGCTCCACTGCTTTTGCCTTCGGCGGTGGCTTTCTCTTCGACTTACGCCTTCCCATTTAAGAGTACGACGCCTGAAAAGTCTTAATTTCTAGATGTATCAAAGCACTTGTTTAAAGACCACGTATCCCAAATGCTTTCGAAAGCAAGCAACAATTAGGTGACAATAATTCCTCAAATCCAACACGAACAGACAAATGAGGAACATAAAGTTAACAATAAATGATAAAGGGACAAAGCTCTCCGCGTTGATCAATCCCTAAGGGATCTACCATGCATGCGACTTCATTAAGCGTGATTGGAGGTGACTGAACGCATATCTGGCCTGTACAACGACCCACGGTAGCCTGCCGACGTGCCAGGCTGCTCTCCTCCCACACCATTTTGGTAATTCGCAACAGACACAACACATTGGTGGTAAACGGCAGAGAAATCTACACGACGACACGAGAGATAACAATAACACGGCTGGGAGTGAGGCCGGTGTGGTGCTGGAAAAGGTAATATCGTATTCGGTCACCAGCGCCGCCACCAGCGGTCTTGAGTTTTGCAAGTGTCTCAGCATCATTGTGGTTACATTTCACATCATACCTTGCCATTAAAAAGAGTAGGCAGTAAATAAAAAGTGATGGCACGAGAAACAGTCATTACCCTTTTAACGGTGTAACAGTAACCTTAAGTGTCTAACTGAAGACGTTCTATAAGACGCTCGAAAGAACATGCCCCAATCTCAAAACTACTGCATTTTACACATTAAGCTCTAGATAAAGTGGAGATTAGAAATTTGAAAAGAAAAAAGTGAAAAAAGAAAGGTGGAGAAAAGTTAGTTAAGAGTAGTTAGGAAGCAGAAGTTAGTGGAATGTTAGTAAATGGAGATTAGTTTACGACCTCGTATCTTCAACACTGGTTAACTTTGCACGGTGGGAACCATACTATCTATAAACAAGCATAAATTAAGCACTTTCAGCTCGCGTACAGTTTAACCTGTACAGGTCCAAGCGCTACTATATGGAGCAACCTTTCATGTGATGGATAAAGAGTTACTTTTCCTGCTACAAGGGCTTGGATTTTATCCGGAAATGAGCATTGAGCGAAACTCCATACATAAAGCTACCTATATGATGCCTAGTTCCCTTTAGAATCGATCGATGCCATTAAATTCCTAAAACAACGATGCTGTGGTGAACAAAAGAACGAAGACATGGTAGCTGAATGTCCACCCACATATACGAAAACTTGCCAAAACGAAACAAGAAGACAGTCCTTTAAATTGCTGACGAAAACATTATCACAGAATTGCTGAGATATTCGCAAAACTCGTACACAGGGCCAGATCGAACCACGAATATCCTTTCCTGGAGCTCGCCTATTACACACTGCACCACTAAGGCTCTGAAAACATCAATACAGCTTTGTTGACGATGAGACATGACATTGTTACCAGTAAAATTTATTCAATACAACACTGGCTCAAATCCCGGTGGAAAACATCATTCTTCACCTGAGCAGGAAAATTATAAGGGCATAAAGTATAAAGTGGAGAAACAAACTTCTCTAGTAACCAGTTTTTCAGTTAGATTTCAACACCCTTCCATTAAAGAAATCCATTCCCACAATGATGAGATGTTGCGACGAGCTGGGATGTAGGTAAGGCGACGCGGCATGATGCTAGTGAATCACAGGTTCGTTAGGAATGAAAACTATGATTCTTCACTGTCAAACGAAACCACTAACGACTTCGATAAGGAGGACGAAATTCTCAACTTTAACGCAAAAGTGGACAATGACGAAAAGTAGAATTTGTGGTGAGCATTGATATTGATGCAAAACTGAGTAGAGAATTACGAAATTCCAGTCAGCAGACGAGCAGTACCAAGCAACAGACTACCGAGCGAGGAGAGCAGCGCTCGACCGAATGAGCCCGTCACTGTCTCGTCTGCGTCCTGCACCCGGTCGGAAACAGAGAGGCGCGTCAGGTGGTGAAATCTTACCACATCGTCCCAAAGTACAATAGAGCGCCCGAACACCCAAGCGCGTGCGCTCATGGGACAGTTGTCGCCCACACGATTTATAGTGCTCCAATTCGGGGGCTACACTGTCGAAACCGTTAAAGAAAGAATTTGATACCAGAATGATTAGGACCTTTGACGAGAGCCTAGATTTATAAGCGCTTGAGAGGAGACGAGAGCGTCGAGACGTTAACCGAATAAGTTCCTATAATAATCTCCTGTTAGCTTATCAGTGAAAGAAAGGGAATGAGAAACTAGACTTATACTTGCCATGTGCGTCCTATTTATTTCAACGACATTACCAAATGACGCTTAAATTACGCCTCTGTATTTGGTATCGTTTCTCATTGTAGAGCGTAAACTATGAGGGGGTTTTATTTCTACGGCCTTCATCATATGTTCTTCGAAGAAAGGTAATGGTATTTTAACCTATTTCAGTCCCACATTCTGGAACAAACTGTGTCAGCAGCATCATCGATCCCTGGACAACTGCGATGGAATCCACAATGCAATCATAGTCAGTCATCTGATTCAAGCTTTTTTAAGTCAGTTGGTCCCACCGCTCCTCAGTTCCATCGGTTCTGTCGGACGTATCATACGGACATCAAACGTCGTATTCCAGTTATTCTGGAAAATAGGAGTTTAACTGTGATATTCTGCAAATTGGAAGTTTCTTGTTGACGTGATAGTGAAATGAAGACAGTGATCTCGTGAAAATCCATCAAAGAGTTGTTGAGGAATTGAAATGTTCCGCTATAGGACCTAGTAGTTAAGGAAGAGTGGAGCAGACTTTGACCAGGTTGTCCTTGGGACTCCAAGGAACTACAATGGCTAAACCAGCTAACCTCTGCAGAGTGGAAGTTATGCTGAGGCCCACACAACCAGTGAAGATGGGCCGTCCAAGTATCCAAGTAAGTAGTTAAGGAGAAGTTGTTGTCCAACCAGCTTGATAGAAAAACGTGTCAGTGAGGAAGAAATTAACAAATCGGTACCACCGTGCTGTTCGCACTCGAGAAAAGAGCTCGACCTTCGTTTCCACTCAACGAACACCATTTTTCTCACTTTATGTGTTGCTAATAAGCAGTGGAATTGCTCACTGAGGAAATATAAGTGCTACTAGAGCTTTTGCACCCAAGGGATCTTCCGCCAGTAAGCTTATATTCCTCATTTTTATGAATAGAACGGAATAAGACACAGTACTGATAAGTACTGAGGCGTATGAACAGGACAACACTATAGAACAAGACAGCTTTTGAGTATCGAGTTTTCTTTCACTTTTGAAAAGTTACTGATTATGTTTGTAGGTATGCATGCTTTGAGAAAATCGCTAGCCTCTTTGAAAAGCCTGAATACCGCAGAGTTGTAACCCACTCGGGAAATTGGTATAGCCCACTGAAGACGCTGGAGTTGGGGTAACATTTACGACGTTACTTGATTTTTCATGTGGTTTGGCCCACTCAATGATCCCGGACAGCCGTCCGACGAGTGCACCAGGGCCTTCGCTTCGTGTTTGCTTCCCCCAAAAGTTTCTCGACTCCTCATTTCTTACATTGGTAGGGTTGAAACTGCTTCTTGTTAAAAACTGTTAAAAAACTGTGAGTGGTAACCTCGTTATATTTTGCTGTACTGGCTTCATATAAAGGTGATACAACTTTCTCTTTATCGCTTAGGCTGTTCAGATGAAGGGATCGCTTCTACGAGTTCACGTTTCGACATTCTCTCAGATGCGAGGTCTCCTACGCCCATCAACGAATCTCCCGTTCCGTGGAATCTACAGGTTCGCTCATCACCAGTTTTCTTCAGCGCTTCCGGTCCAGGGAGATCTTGTCAGAATCTCAACGTTTTTCTGATTTTAGAACAGAAGGAGAAGCAGTACGAAAAGACGACATATTAGTCTGCCAGCGAAATTTGAACTATCATCCTGGTCTCAATGTGAGTCCTTCCACAGTACCTTCTTGGCATTCACTCATCTTACCATCATAATCGAAAGTAGCAGCGTTAACAGTGGTTCTTTTAGCAGAATTTTTGAGCACGTTGTTAAGAATGAAGGCGTTAGCACTTAACAGGAAGTTTTTCTTCTAATGGACTACGTATGCATTGCTCTTACTCGTTTTTCTTTCGCTTTTTCCATTTTTCATTTGGTCGGTCTCACCTTTTACGCCGATTTGCGTCCTTCATTTTGTTGACATGTTGGACATATCCTCCTTTATTCTGTATCTATCTGTAAAAGAAGGATATACAATGCACATGGGATCGATTACCTCGCTCCAGACCCACTAAGCCTTTCATTCCTCCGAGATCGGCTAACTGGCACCAGAATTGTCTGGGAGGATAGCAGAACTGGCTCGACACATCGGTAGGCCAATGCGAGTCATTGTAAAGGCCAGATATGCATTCAGTCACCTCCAGCGTTGTTTAATGAAGTCGAATGCATCGCTCAGGGATAGATCAACGCTGAGAGTTTTTTCCTTTTATCCTTTGCCCTGTCTCTCTCTAGCTGCACATTTAGGTTTATCTCGAAAATGACCGAACCGAAAAGCTGCTACGATCATCGTGCGATGGAGTAGTGAGGATAACCACTGAGTTGGTCATACCGGATTTTTCCAATCCAGAAATGGCAGTTTACGAGTATCGGAAAGACGTAGAGCTACGTAAGCTTACTTTTAATGTGCTCCCTTTCGAAATGTCTCGAACGTTTAATCTCGTTAATGAAATATGATTGTTTCTGTTTTTGTTTGTATTTAAATAATAAAAGTTCAGGATAGAAGTTTGTTCATTGTTCTTGTTTTCGTGGACACGAATGTATATTTGTATATCATCAGTAGTTGCAGTTGGGTTCATTCTTCTTTGCTTTCCTTTAGCTTTATAGGATAAGTTCCCTCTGAAGCTTTCAGCTCTGAAATGGAGAAGAACACTGAAGGACCGAACTTAAAGAGAGGTTGTCACTTGTTTACTTTGCTTACATCCTGCATTCTTCAACAATGTATACTTTGATTTTCTGTTGAAATTTTCTTTCTGTTTTAGACATCCATCGAATCTTAGAATTAATTGAACACGTCCAAAAGACTGGCGAAGTCACATCACCGAAGCTCGTCACTCTTCAGAAGATACTCCAGTCTGAATTCTTTAATGCTGTTCGGGAAGTATATGAAACTGTGTACGACATAGTGGACATTGAAGGATCCCCTGAGGTTAGAATATAAAAACTTTTCAGTGGATTTCGAGGTTTTCGCCATATAGCACCGTGCACTTTTTCTTTCCATTATGCTCGACGAGTTCAGCATCACTTTGAGGTTCGAGCCTCCGCTACTGCTAAAGCGACTGTTGCGGCTTTTGCTGCCGCTGAGGGACACGCTCATCCTCGAATAGTGGAGTTGCCAAAGACTGATCAAGGATTGGGATTTAACGTCATGGGTGGGAAAGAGCAAAATTCTCCCATCTACATATCAAGGTAGAAGGTGAACATAACAGCTTCACTCGTCTCCATTATTTTCTTTACAGAATTATTCCTGGTGGTGTTGCTGATCGTCATGGTGGACTGAAACGAGGAGACCAGTTGATTGCTGTTAATGGAATTGTGAGTGTTTTACTTTTCAGTTAAATACGTTCGGTTTTTCATAGGTTTTTGTGGATAAATGCGTTCCAAAGGGCGCATGTAGTGCAGTGTTCGGAGGGCAACACATACATGGGATCCGTCCCAGCGCCCCTGGTGCACCAAGCGTACTGGACTTATCTGGGAGGATAGCAGCACTGGTCCGATACATCGGTAGGCTACCGCGAGTCATTGTAAAGACCAGATATGCATTCAATCGCCTCCAAACGATGCTAAATGAAGTTGAATGCATGGCGCATTCCGCAGGAGTAGATCAATGCCGAATGCTTTCTTTAAATGCGTCTCATGGTTTTCAATACATTATTAGTGTTGAAATTTCGTTTAGAATGTTGAAAGCGAGAGTCATGAGAGGGCGGTGGATTTACTGAAGTCTGCACAAGGAATAGTACGCCTGGTTGTTCGGTATACTCCACGTCTATTGGATGAAATGGAAAGGTTAGTTGTTTTTGTCCTGTTTCCCTTAATAATCTTGAATGTTCTGTTTGAATGAGTGCAATCTCTGACGCCTGTTGTAAGCTTTAAGTAGGCTTTAAGCCAAAGGGCTATATGGAACGATCCATTCGATTCCTGTGAGTGAAGACATCACGCTAGGATTTTTCGCTGATGATTTCACTAATGATGTCTTTTATTCTGTGGAAGTGAAAAACATGATGCCTAATAACAGTCATAATGGCGAATATCTACTAGAACTTTGAAGCAAGTTTTACATACGTTTTCGTTAAAGAAGGTGTGTTTGCATCTGTGCAAAGTATTCAGAATTTCGTCGATGGTAGGTTTTCGTTCGTTTTTTTGCATACTAAAGCGATTATCTCCTATAAATATTTTCTCACTAGGCGTTTCGAACGACAAAGAAGGCGTCTGAATCAGCCCAGTCCGGGACCTCTACCTACTGTCCGACGTTAGCTGGCTATGTCCTGGATGAATTTCGGACTAGTTTTATCCCTGCTGTGTTGGTAACTGAGTTTCTATTGCCCTTGCTTCGCTCCGAATGCCAGTTTGATGTGTTATTTCTTCTTCAGTTCCCTCATGAATGATTACTTCTTAGCAGAATTAGAACTCTGTACACAACAGGTGCTTTTTCCTTAAAAATCTGCAAGTATATAATGGGACTTTGCGTTAACATGATGGAATTACCACATGCACAACTATTCTATTTTTCGAATAACTAGATTTTATAAGGGCTTTGCACGGACGCAGGTAGCGCAGTGGTCGGAGGCGTCCTGCAATACAGATGGGATCGATCTCCGCACCGCAGGCTCACCAAGCCCTCTATTCCTCCGGGGTCGGCAAATTGGCACCACACTTGTCTGGTAAGATAGCAGCACTGACTTGATAAATCAGTAGGCCAATGCTAGTCAATGTAAAGGCCAGATATGCATTCATTCACCTCCAACCATGCTTAATGAAGTCGAATGCGTGGCGCATCCCCCAGGGATTGTTCAATGCCGAGAGGTTTATCTTTTGTTTTATCCTTTATAGGGACTTTACAATACCTTTTAATATGTTTATAGGGAAAGCTCTACCTAATGCTCCAAGATATGCGCGGTTTTTTTTAAAGGGCGTACTGGCTATGATCCAAATTCTCAAAATGTAGTGCAGAAAAATCCGCGCTTTGAGATCATTAGCACAAATACCACAGGAGCAAATCTCCACAATGCATTTGAGAATATCATCGGGTCTTAGTGGACGATATACCACTGCTTCATTAGTCAGGGCGCTCAAAGTACAGGAACGAACGAGGGAGGAAGACAACTTGCGGGCTTTGGGAAGTCAGATTTTCTCGTTTTAGTTTACGAGAACTCGTCTTGTTTGTAAAGATCTGTATGTTCCTTTTTTTTATTCAACAAAATTCGCATTTAGCTGAGAAATGTTTGTCTAAAATTGAAGAACCAAGTAATCTCAGGCACATAGCGCCGTACCAAATCATTAGATGTGAAGTATTCGTGTTTTATAACATACAGAACTAACTAAGCTTTACTGCGGACGTAGCCTAAGTCTTCTGCTAAAAGTCTTCTAACAGCCGCAACGTTGCTGAGATATTTGCAAAACTCTGGACCGCAGGTGTCTATGGTGGGGAACGAACGCGCTATTATCCTTTCCGGGGAGTAACGCGTTCACCACCACACCGTGCGGGTCCTTTGTTTCGCACGTCTCTCAGCTATTTCTAGTCTTCTAACACATTTTGTTCTTAAGTACTGTTCAACTAGAAAGTGACACCTCAGTTTGTCAACCGGTACTTCCACCGTACTTCCTTGAAGTTAACGATTCGTCCTTACTAATGCTCATAAAGTACTAGTCCAATTTTTTTATGGGACTGGAGGAATGATTGTGGTTTTTACCAGAACGATTTCGTTTTCGTTGGCGAGGCGAACAGATTCCTGAACAAAGATTTTTGCATGGTGCTGTTAAGTGCTTTCTAGAGGTTATTCTGTGGAGAGATGTACTTTCCAATAGTGGTTTGTAAGGAAGTTTCCTGGTTTCTGTTGTCAGTGTTGTGAGCGGTGTTTTGCGTGTTCTTCCATTGTCTTACAGTTTTCTTCTTCTTATCTGTGTCATTGGAAACAACTTTTTTAGCTTGTAAATGTACTCCGCCAGGATTACTTAGGGCTAGTTTTTTTCCTTGTTTTACTTGCTATTAAACAAGCAATAAATATTTGCTGTTTTCATTTGTTGTATTGTGTCCTGTACGTCTAGGATGCTTCTCCGGAATAGTTCTTCCTCTGCCTTTCCATGCTTGCTACTTCAGTAACCATTGGAAAGTTTGCAGTTATTTCTGGATTTGACGTCGATGCATGAATGCTGAGGGTGTCGCGTATGGCAGTGTATATTTCGTCGCAGTTCTGTCGAAGACTCTGTGGAGAAGGCAGTGTTCTCAAGATCCTCACAGCGGAAGACATCAAAGTCACCGACAGAGCACATCAACGACTCAAGGTTGACAATTTCCTCTTCAATACTGCCAACCACTATATTTTATACTATAGTGTTATTATTATTTTTATCATTATATTTCTTCACTATTCACTACATGACGTCACATGTACCACACTATACGGATCCCAACACTTGTATTTGACTCGTTTTCTCGCATCTACCATTCACGAACGCTTTCGAACCTTCTTACATGTGGCTTCGATTGCTACTCGAGGATATTCGTCTTCTCGACGAATGTCGCTGAATGCTGGCCGAGTCGATTCTCCTTGGAATCCTGAGATAGCGACACTAGAAGTCTCTATGTGGATTAAACGGAATGAGCCTATCTGAGGCAAACATACCAATTTCCTCACCACGGAGAGATTATTAATATTATTATTATTATTATTATTACTATTGTTGCTATCATTATTGTTTTTCCAAGATCTGACATCGTATTATTTGGATCCTAAAACTTCTTGTATTCGACTCGTTTCCTTGCATCTGTATTCCACGAATGTCTTCGTATTTTATGTGTGGACTTTGCTGTTAGTGGTACTATTGGTCTTCTTCATGTCACTGAATACTGGTGGAGTCGATTCTTCCTGGAATTCTGAGATATTCTTGCTACGTTACTCACATGTATTTCTAACTTAATGCAAGTGACCGGTCTTGAACGCTAACTGTAAAATATCACAACTCCATTCATCTCCAATCACTTCTTCAACTTTATGGAGACCACAACGATGCTTATATATTCGCAAAACTTGAACCCTGAGTCAGATCGAACCACAATTAACACTTCCGGGAGCTCGTGTATTACACACTGCACTACGAGCCGCTTTCTCTGCATTTCTCTCAGCTAGTTCTTCTACCTAACGTTGCCATCAGATTAAGCAAACGGGTGAGACACCGCTTGTGTTACTTTTTTACCTTTCCAGTGCCTTTTAGATGGCGAACATTGAGTTCTTAGGCAACCTAACAAGTAGCTTTAGAGAGTTTTAACTCGTTTAAATCTTCTCTTATCGTCTTTAGATTGTCGTGATCACGTGGTCAACCTGTGGTTGGAGAAAACAATTTTTGTCGACAAGACCCACATACAGCACAAATTATTTCAGGCCATTTCATATGTTCGGGAATGCGATTGTAGCTCTTGTTTCCATAAAGCTTCAAATTGTTGCAAGTCTTCATTAAATTTCTTCATGGTGTGCATCTGGGCGGTATCAGCCCCTTCAGAGCCGCAATTGCTGGAATCGAGTCCATAGCTGTGGTTTTTGTGGTATGGGGGTTCGTACCCTTTTATATAGGATGGTCCTTGGTTGATTCCCAACCAAAATAACTTGTTTTTATGGTGGCAGTCCATCTCATAGCGGACTAGTATGAGTTGCTATATAGCAAAATAATTTTTTGAATACTGAATTTTATCTAAATTTCGCATCGAGTCAGTAAAATGGCAGTGCTGGGTACCTCTTTTGCACGGTTCTCTACTCTCATTTCGACGAGCTGACTATGGAAGCACGAAATCTAAGGACCAACTACTGTAGACACTCGAAGTGAAGCGTCGTTGTTCTGAAAAAGGTCATGCTACCGGGACGTTAGCCGCAATAAAGATTTGTAACAGCTTCTCTTAAGCTTACTAATACACCAAAAAAGTGGTTAGTCGTGCTGAAGTCAGACGAAAGTCGATATTTCAAATCTTTGGAGTTACTCCCGCTGTAACATACCTCAAGTTGGATCCATACGCGCAATGCTGAGGGTTTACTACTTTAAATTTTACCCACCGTGAAGTCATGAGGAATTGGATGTTAGGGAAAGTACTTCACGGCAGATAGATAAGCGATAAGCTACGTTTAGAATGTACAGCGGTCCTTAGATATTAAATATTTTGTTTGTGACTGTGTTGTGACAGAATTTAAAACGAGAAGAAACGAACATTGTTTTCATATCGACATAATACCTGTAGGTGTTTGCGTATTCGTTTATTTAGGAAGTTCTACCACCTGGTGAGCGACTGCGAATCGAAGTGGATGGAGGAGGTTGCTCGGGATTTGAGTACAAAATAAGGTTAGATTCCAAATTGCAAGACGGTGACCGACTTTGGAAAGGTGACGACGTTGAGGTTATTATTGACGAAGTGAGTTTGTTAAGATTCCGACGGCGCATTGTACGTCTTTCCATTCCTTGATTGTTTTTTTTTTCTTCATAAGCCACATTTATGTTATGAAAAACTAGTCTTTGTTAACCTTATATTTTCTACCTGCTATAATTTTTCACGGCAGGGTGCGATCTGAAATAAAGGCACAACGATGTTGAGATATTCGCAAAACTTGGACCGCCGGGCCATCGAACCATGATTACCCTTTCCAGGGGCTCGCGCATTACACACTATACGGCCCTTCCTTTGCGTTCTTCTCGGCTAGTTTTAGTCTTTGTTTTTCCCGAGAAGAGAAAGAGAACTCTTTCACCAGAACTAAGCACCAGAGCACAGAGTTCTATTGCACATGCCATCTATTAGCAAAATGCAAGCTTCACAGATGTCACTTGGATATATGCGCGGAGCGACTGTCGACTACGTGGAGGACTTGATGAAATCTTCTTTTCGTGTTGTGGATAACCCTATCGCAGAAAAAGGTTGCTCTTGTGGGTCTAGTTTTACCTTGAAGATGGACTAGTCCGACTTCATCACTCGTATAGCAGTTGTGTTTTTGGTCACTATATTGTTTAGTGTCATAGTGTATTGTTGTAAATATTAACCACTTTCATTCGTTTTCTATCCATCTCTTTACTTATAGTTTAACTCATTGTCGATTGAACCGGTCTAAAATCAGGACAATTATTTGCTGTCATTGTTAAGCAGACCTGTTATATTTTTCGTTTCTAGTCTGTTCTGTTGGCAAGAGTCCTGAGGCAGGCTCAACAGATGTTTTTTCTTGTAATGCTTGTTAAACCAGAGAAATATACAATAAGATTCTTCAATACGAACTAATTTTCCTGTTGAACTCGCTGGCATTAGCCTTGTGCTTTCTATTTCAAATAACATTTGTTAATGGGTTTTCGTGAACTTGTCATAAATGGCTCTGGAAACTCCATTGGAAGACATTCAATGTTACATCGAAGCAAACATGGTCATTGTGAGGATGATGTCATCTCTGTGGACGAGGTCTTGTATGAGGTTAACTTGGAGTGTACGGCGAAGCGTTTCTAGCCAGAATGAAACCTTTTCAACAGGCCGTTGGCACTGGAAAGGTTATAATTATAAAGACAAAAACTACGGCAATTGGAAGTCGAAAAGGTATTTCTTACATTAAGTTGCCTTGTTAACGGTTTCATTGAGGGCTAAGTATTGAATCCTAGGTGGTATTACCCACCAAGTGCTCCTCTGTTAGGTCTGTCGTGGCTTGTTACGATAAAGGATATACTAGGTATTGAGCCTGTAAAACTTGACAAGGACGAATTGAAAGAGAAAGTGAAACAGGTATGAAGTGTCCTCTACGATTGCTTGGTTTGTTGTTGCTGACATCCAGTGGTTACAGTCCTGGTTATATCGGAAGTACGGTAAGTACACGGAGGCAGTGCAAGTTTTGGAAATGGCTCTTGAAGAAGCTAAACAACGCAACGAGCCATTGCCGATAACACGGTGAGTTGTTGTATTCTTAGTTTGTGGGTAACTTCACAGTTTTCTGTAAAAACGCCTGGGAAGGTAGAATTTTTCAAATAGTACCTTTTCGCTCAGGATTTTGGAATGTGTAAGCAACTCAGTTGGTTAAAGTGAGCTTTAAATTACAAAGTTTTCCTGCATAGTCACTGGACCAGTATGGTGTTATATATCATTAGACATCACTTAAAGATTAAGTATAGCAAAGTTAACTATAAGCCTTTAGAATAGTTTTTCCCTTTTTCCTTATTCGTGACAGCGTCACAGTTCAGTTTGTTTCGTGAGTTCTTCATGCGGCTTTCATTTTAGTATTCTTAGCATTAATTCTATGTAGAATTGTTCGATTCTTGGTTCTCGTAATGTACTAAATCGTATCATCTAATCATTTATACCCAAATTATGGCTGTGGGCTTTTTCTAAGTGTTGGATTCTAGGGAGTTCAACCCCAACAGGGTTCTCCAAGTTGGGAATGAGTTCGACATTTGAATCTCATAAGCAGGGTAAATTTATGTTACTATGAAGTCCGGCATCTCGTAGTTGCTTTCTCACAAAAAAAAGACAGTAAAAGAAGCTACAACATCAAAAGAATAACGGTGTTTGGGTTCACTATGCAACTCCGGTGTGCTGCAGAAACAGGTGAGTTTACTGATAGCCGCTAGGATTTCTGGACGATTGCTCAACAATTGGTGGTGGAGTTGGCAGGTCGTAGTGATCAGCTGCACTGCTTTCAAGTGCTCTTTTGCTTTCTAGTCTTCTCTCCACTCCTTTCTGTTAAAGTGTTCCATTCCTTCGCTTTTAGCTTTCACTCCTTTCGTCTGACCGTCTTTAGCTGAGTTTCCGTTTATCCTCTAGCCTTTCTATTTAAAAGTTTTCGCCCATTGTACTATCATTGCCGACCGTATTTCCTTCATATTATGTTATTTCTACATTTGTTTTTGTAGTTCTTCTGCCTGTCTATGCTTCCTCGGCACTTTGGTTTGTATAACTTCGAAAGCTTATATGATGTTAACGCAGATTTCCTACGCCCCTCTGGTTGATGTACAACCCAATGCCAAGCACATATGTTCCTGATTGTTACACTGCGGTGGTTATCGTGTTGTTTATTCCTGATAAGGTTTTCCAAGCATAGGAGTTCAACATTTATATCTGGAAGCTTAACCAAGAGTAAACTTATGTTAGGCCACTAGTGTGGACTCCTTGATAAGAACTATTGACGTGAAACCGCCTTTGGGCAGCTATCTGAGAACCAAGGAGCCCAAAAAGTAGAACAGTAGTGGTACCAAAATCGTGTTTAAGATCGCTTCGATTTTGGAGACTGGCGTTCCAGGACTCAAACATGTGACATGAATTTCATACATAAGCATCAAACTTCTCAACTTTCCTTCTTCTTTCCTCTCTATCTTTCTTATATCGCTCAAAACTGGCTCCTGTCCTTCACCATTGTTTTCGGGCCGGATTTTTTTCATAAAACAACTATTATTTTATGTTACTTGAATTCTATGGCGATCGCTTCCAAAAGATCCAAATATAATTTGCAATTCTTAGTAGGTGCTAAATTGAGCCCTTCTCTTACACAGAGGATAGCCTTGTTGTCTCGGCTTTCTGCGCTACTAATTTTACTGCATACACGAGTTTCTTGGTACCAGAAAGCTCAGAAAGTAAGTGTAAATCATTGCCGTTGTTTAAGGTCAGGTATTTAACGTATTAAGGAGTATCTTTAACAAATTAAGTAAGAGTTTTTAGTTTCAGCCGTGTTACTCTGAAAGCAGGTCCATATTTGTCTAACAGTTAACCTCACCATCCATAGCTGTTCCTTCTAAACAGCTTTGACATATCTGGTTACATTTGGCTACACAACGCTACTTTGTCCCACTCGCTTTCGAAGAATTTTCTGGAGTACCTGAAATCACTTTACCAGAGTATGCCTTAGTACTTAGACAATATACTCAAAGATATTCACAACCCTCATCTCATTACGATTATATTTCTTCCCCAAACGACTCTAGTCAGTGGCGCGTGTGACGCAATGGTCAGAGGCGCCCTGCAATACACACATGGGATCGAGTCTTGCGCCCATGACCCACCAAGTCTTCCATCCTTCCGGGGTTAGTAAATTGGTGCCAGACTTGTTTGAAAGGATAGCTGCAATCACCTACCCAATGAAGTCGAATGCTTAGCGCATCGCTCAGGGATTGGTCAACGCCAAAAGCTTTATCATTTCTTTAAAATAACTCTAGTATACACGTCCATGCACCGTACTCTTCGCCAGACAACGTCGAAAATCCTGAAGTAACTTTCATAGTAACCTACACAAGGCGTACTCGAAAATACCACAAAAACGTAAAGATATGAAAACATGAATGTGTTAATATTTCAGTGTTTATGATGAACTGGCCAATACTTATTATGAAATGGGCAACTTCGAAGACGCTATGATACATTTCCAAGTAGTAGTAAACCGGTAATTTCTACTTGTCGTCATCTCTTTGCTAGCAGCAAAATCTTTCTCAATGTAATCAATTTCTTGCCCCTACAGATTAATACATCTGCATGGAAAGAGGGATAGCGATCAAGAATTCATAGGAATCTCCTTGAAAATGGCTGATATTTTGGCAAGAAAGGGCCAGCTTGATGATGCTGAGACGGGGTATTCACACTGTGTTCGGAAACAAATGCAGGTTTGTAGCCATGTCGTGCTTCGATTCTCGCTCTGTTCTGGCACGAATTTCGTATGTCCCCTTTCTGTTTGCGATTTGAGGTTGTCGATGAGCACATGAAAAAACACAGTGTTGCCCACGGAGCACTTGTACAAGACAGATATATGGTCGACACTTTAGGACCAATTTATACGGATCCAATTGCCCTATTTGGAATGTCGCTGGAGAGATTTGCTCATTTTCTGGTTAGTTGTTGTACCTTCTTTTTTTTATAACAGCATTCACTTTTTTGCTTCGTATGTTATCGAATTAGGAAGGGTGTTCGTGATCAGTGCCTTACCTTTAGTTTTATCGATATTTATTATGCTACCTCTCTCCACTAACCCTCTCTATGGGCACCTGTGGCGCAGTATTCCGAGGTGCGCTGCTACATGCGTGGGATCGATTCCCGCGCTCTATGCCCACCGAGCCTTCCATCCCTCTGGAGTCACGAGATTGGTATCGGACTTCTCTGGGAGGTTAGCAGCAGCGGCTCGATACACCAGGAGGCCACCGCGAATCATTGTAAAGGCCAGATATGCGTTAAATCACCTCCAATGATGCTTAATGTAATTGGATGCATTGCGCATCCTTCAGGGATTGGTCAACGCCGGGAGCTTTGCTCTTTATTATTTATTTTATCCCCTCAATATGGTGAATGTAGAGATAGATTTACACCTATAGATCACCTACCGTGATGAGACGCGTTTACGCGAAGCAGAAGAGTATATGGACGAAGTCATGAAGGTGAGTAGCTGTTTTATTTCCATTCTAGTCGTTTCAGTTTGTGCAGTATTCGGCTTTAATGGTTCAGATTTCTTATCAGATCTACGGGGCAAATTCTTTTCACACAATTAATTTACTTGGCAACTTCGGTGCTGCTCTTATTCTTAGAAATAGGTGAGATTTTAGGATTACTTGAAAAATGTACCAACGTTACGGATTATTGTCTTCTTTTGAGGTTTGAGTTGGCTTTAAAATATCTCTCGATCGGTATTGAACGGATACTCTACGTAAATGAGTGTGCCAATATGATTCCTGGATACTACTGCAACTATGCTGAAGCGCTCTTCCATGTCGGTAGGAAGGTGATTTGGTTTTGCCTTTTTGTACTTCCTAATACTCAATACTGTTACTACTGCCAATATCACAACCCAAAAGTCGGTCTAACACATGTGCGACGACAACTCGTATTGACTCACATGGTGCAAAAATAGTGATTGCCGCTTTCAGGTTTAGACCAACATATCTTATATTGAACTTTATTAGTTGGAGTAAAAACCATTAGTGTATACAAGTCTTTGCCTGCAACAAAAGATGTTCTGTACTACGCGGTTAAACTTTTGGTTTTATGGAGGTCCGTGGGACGTTCTTATCCACTTTTTTCGTCAAAACCGGAATTTCAAACACCAGGCAACTGAACCCTCAAAATGGTATACCGCCTCATCATGGCTAGGAAATGTTCCTGGGTGTCGGGCTGCGACGTACAGAGGAGGGATTCATTCTCCTAGCAGGGTCTTCCAAGCTGAGGAGGAGTTTCCACTAGGAAGCCTGGCTAAGAGCGACCCAATGCCAGGATCGACCACCGTCCTGGTATCGAACTTGCCGCGTTGTGGCAAATCTCCCTCTGATCCGCAGGGGCGACGACTTCCTGTTGTGGTGAGGACTTGGAGCAGACTTTGGCCTGGCTGAGCTCAGGACTCCAATGAACCACAATGGCTAAATCAACAAAACTCCGAAAAAATGGAGGTTATGCTGGGGCTCACACAACCAGTGAGGAGAGACCATCTAAATTAAGTATCTAAGTAAGCAACTGAACAAACGAGGTTTGTTCCAACAGGGCATAATGGTGCACTCAAATGCATCGTGGGATTTTTCGATGGATATGCTTGCGCTGGAAGACTTAAAAATCTGGACCTCGTTTTAATTTTTTTGGGAACTTTAGCTATAAACAAGTCTATAATTTAGTGGACATTTTATGAAGGTTGTGTGTAACTCTGTGTCTCTTCTATAAGTCTATAAAGCTCTCAACTCCTCTACTGCTCTTTTTACGGAGAGTTTTTTGTGCGCTGTTGAAGCTTCGTAGCGAATGTTTTAAAGTCCTTAAGAATTTAAAACTGATATAGTTTTCTGCTTTTAGGTTGAAGCTCTCGAATGGGCTAGAAAGGCTGTGCTATTAAGCAAGTCCGAAGAACCTCGTATTCAAGAGTATGCTCATAAGTTTCTACGTGATTTAGAAAAAGACGCAAAGGAAAAACGACAACGGTCCTGGTGGTTCTTTTAGGATGTAAACGGGCCTTCCAGAGGCAAATAAAAGACTCCTGTATTTCTTATTCCCACACTCGATGTCATCACTCCTAACATCATGTTTTAAGCTCATTAGTAGCTGCCTATGTTAACTCCCAGAGAAACGAACTTGAAAGATGTTGAGTCATATGCGGTACACGGTAAACATCTCATAAACTGAATCTTCTCTTCGCTTTTATCGTAGTTTACGATTCTTTCGTGAGGTCTTGTATTGTTTCGACAAACACTAGTCGGACAGGGGAACCTCCTTTGGATTTATTTTTGTGGCCAAAAATCAGCTTTTGGAAATAAATTAGCAACGTACTCAATGAGGGTGAAGATTATCCCCCAGTCTGGGCTAATGGTACCTACGGGTTTGACAATGTTTCAGTTTGAAAATCACCTAAAAATATTTTTTATATTGTTGTGATGGTTAGGAATCAGCATGTACTTGTTTATCGGGATATACGTCTCCATATGCCAATTTCGTAAATGTTCTTAATAGGCACACAGACTTGTTATTCTTTGTGTTTTGATTTGTGTTATATTCAGCTGTACATGACCACACACAGCTAGTTTGATGCATAAATGCCTTCAGTCAGTCTTCACAAATCATGTGGACCCTAGCCGATTTTCTATTTCATTCCTACTTTAGTAGTTTGGGCAAGATTTCTTCTTTGAGTCTCGAGATAGCCATGTTAAATTGTATCTTCACGTCAGTCATGCATCTTTATGAATCGAATGGAAAGCTTGCTACATCATGACTTCCTGCTGAGGTCAACAAATTCGGCAGTCCTATTAAAATTATGCCTTCTTTCCAATGTCGACAGATTTGAGCATTCCTCTTTATGTCTATAACGCTTGTATGAACCAACAAGATACAAATACCCTTGCATGTCTTCTAAAGAATGCAAAGAAACCAGCGGCAAATCTATATGACGTGCCTTCTTGGTCCTTTTCTATTCATTGCAGGTTTTACGACAGTGGTGTACGAATCGTGATTTCTGTGATATTTTGGAATATCTGTTTGAATCTATATAGATGGCTCGTACTCACATTTCAGACGAATCCCAGACCATCTTCAATTCCTTTTGTTGTCTTCTATGCTCATTCACTTGGCTTGTCACATTCGCATGTGGTGTTCCGTAACGGTTTGAGGATCTGCAAGTTTGTTTAAGCTGTGATTGCAGCTGACTTGCTCGTGCGACGACCATGTCAGTGCATCTTTTTGGTGCCCTACCTCTGAAGTATTTCAATCCATCCGGCTTCTACTTTCGCGTTTTTCTCATCTACGTGTCGTCTGCTCTCGTTATATGACCAACTCATCGATGTTTATTCTGTTACACGTTTCCCGTTAGGTATCGAACGCGGGAAATGTTACAAGATCTAAATTGGTAAGACCGAAGTGGCGTTTCACCTACAGAAGACATCGCTCAGGTAACCTAACCGTTTGATATGGAATTCGGAAATTCGGTTTAATACAATGTACTTTTAGCTTTGTTCTCTTCCTTATGAAATACCAGTAAAGGATAAACCATTCGCTTCAGATGTTGGCCGAAAAGGCAACTCGTTGGGGTACAAAGTTTAGAAAAAGAGGGTCGAATTGAGTAAAAAAAGTAATTTGGAGGGAACTCAGAAGAGAAATGGCATGGTTCATGGTCACTTGTGTAATAAAGAAGGAAACCAAACGTCACAGAGGATTTTAGGCAATCAAGGCTACTTGAAATTATCGGAAATATTGAAACCGTTATGTCTTGTCTTCATCAGCGTTAGTGCGAAGTAGCACTTGCACTTTTTTTTCAGTTGGTGATCGAAATTGTGGTAGCGAATTCGTGAAGGATTTTTGAACAAGTGGTGATAGAGAAAGATCACCTCGAATGTTTTCAAATTTGAGATATTCAAGTGACCCCTGTACTGGACGTGCAATGGATGTGTTCACTGGCGCCGAAACTATAATGGTGATGATGCGTCCGTTGGAAGCCATGTCACTTTGTCAAGCAGTGAGCCACTAGCGGTGCCGTTAAAGCCAATAGGTGTTGTCAGTATCACGAACATCTGAGTGTTTTCAGTACTCACGGAATTTTTGAAGTCCGAACTATTTGTTATCATAGTAAATATGTGAATATAGCGTTTACCTTTTCTTCTAAACTGATAACGAAACCTTGGGATGTATTAAGCGTCCAGTGGGAAAAAAAGTTTTTAAACAATTTAAAAAGGTGAAAGCGAATAAAAACCCAGCTTAGAGAGATTTCAAAAGTTGGTGTAAGAATCCACTAGTTTCCCTCTCCTAATCGACCTCTATACAATACAAAAAATTAATGAGTGATGTGAAAATATAAGGAAGTTACTCAGTTTTCTAAAAGCATATTACGGAAGCATTTCTAGAAATTTCATGTGTTGCTTAACGATAATATATAGTATTGGAAAGTTTCAAGGATTACAGTAGAACTCGGTAAGTTATTTACCCGTACCTACCATATGATCAAGAAAAGTAGAAATAACGAGCTCACAAAAATCGTAATGTTCTTTGGATCCCTTGAAAACGTGAGGTTGACTGAGTGGCTAAGGTTGCGAGGACAAATGGAGATTTCTAGAAAGAAAAAAGACCTGAGAATACTCTAGATCGATTGACTTAAAGTGATGGAGGACTTAGGGATGTTGAAGCAGCCTTGATGTGCTGGCGTTCGCTCGCCTAACGCATGATGGTGGAGTACCTGAATGTTTGAATAAATAATCATTTTATCTGGTTGAAACTCAAAGTACTCCGCTAGGCACGTATGAGACTCAAAACCATAGTGGAGAATTCTTTGGAACAGAAGTTGCAACTCTTGTGTAAGAATCTCTGAAATATCAAAGGGCAAAGTTCTCGAGGCATTTTGGAGAAATTCCAGAAGCCCAAAGATGAATTGCACGGGGAATGACTTGCAATCCTTGGTGACTTGGCTCGGTTCATACCTAAGGTTGATGTGTTGACCGACTTGAGGCAGATAAATTCTTCATCTATGAGGACTCTGTGTGGTCCCCCTCACCATCAGTAGAAGGCACACAAAACGCGCTGAGCGTTGTGAGTATTTTAGAAAATCTGTTTCACCTTCACGATGCGACTGAAATCTACGCGATTTTCTCCATTAGGGCTGTGAATGTACATGCTTGAGTAAAGTGCCTACGAATGTGAATCCTCTAAAGAAGTCGAAATCCGCGAACCTTATCCGTCGTCGAATAAATCTTATGTTAACAACTTCGTTTCTGCTTATCAGGAACTTGCAAGCTTACTTCATTTTGGTGTTTTACCGTCACACCTGGAGAGTATTCCTGGATGCCGATGATTAGTGGGATAACAGGTGATCCGGGTGATAATTGACCATAGTAAAGACGACAGTGGTAAGTGTTATTAAGGAGAACTATAATGCTAGAGAATTGCGTTAGCCATTTCTTTACAGCACTGATTAATCGGTCAGCAGTGGATTGAATCCTTAATAGCTGAAGATCCTCTGTTGCTGAGACGGATCACGTGAGAATCTCTACATACGAAATGCTAAAAATCGGACGCTAATCTCCGCGTTAGTCCCGCGAAAAGAACTGAATAGTTAGTTAATTTAATTAACTGTCAGTTAGTTTTACATTAGTTTCTTACACAAGTGCTGCAGTTTCACCTTTTACTAGTTACAAGAGGTAGCTACGTTTCAGCAAATGCTTGTTGTCCTATGTAGTATTCTCTTACTTTTGGATCCACAGTTTTCTAATAGGATTCTTGTCATTTGATGCCGATCTATGCCTCTTTGAAGTTCTGAATTAGAAAATTTGAATGCTCACCGTCTGTATTGGTACGGATGAATGATATAGTCTTGATTCTACTTGGATTAATCTTTGCTGTTTCTTTACCATTCGCTTTGTCATTGTAGCGTCTGTGATACAAACCAGTCACAACTTGAGAATCGAGCACGTTATAGAATTGATCCCAATATACATCCAGTTTTTACATCAACCAGTTTTTTAAAACGCGTTTTGTATTCTACTTGATTAACGTTTTATCGCCTCAAAGTAGTGGAGTGGCAGAGTAATTCAACTTGATGTCCTTTATCGAAATACAGCACTCACTCCACCCGCAGCAGGGTCACGTAACCTAGGAGCGTCATAGATGGATCAAGACTGCTACGTTTTATTTAATGATTACCAAGAGTAAACGAGTACCACGAATTGCCGCTATGCTGGAAGAAGTGTAATCATAAGGTGACAAACGTCGCTATGATCTAACGATTCTTAGTGAATACGACTCACTTAACTACGCAAGTTTACTTTGTTCTTACCAGCTGTCCTTGGTGAGTTGTGGGTAACGGGTGTAGTAAACGCGCATCATTAATTTCCGTCGGTTAACGTTTCGGCGCCTCTGCCATCTTAAACGCCTGCTCGCGTTGTTGTACATCACTGTTCGGAAAATATTCTACAGCCTTAGTGAAAATTCAGTAGAGAAGTCAAGATAAAGCGAACTGAAGGAAAAGTTATAACCAAAGACAATGTTTGCGATCCAAACAAGGGGATTGCTTTCTCTTTAACTACTCCTTGTATCAAATGAAATAAGCAAGGTACTAAGAGATGCCTAAAAAGCAGTGACTTAGAGAATTCTGTGGTAGCTAGTGAACCTCCACCCAGCACTTTATGCCGTAGGTTTGTTCGAAATCGCCTGACCCGATCTATTGCAAGATTTGCGGCGAAAGGTCAGATCAGCAGGTGCCCGTTGAAGAGAACACACGCACATTCGTAACCGTACTGGTTTCTTGGCAACTGACATTAATTTCTCTATTAACAGAGCAGTCTCTTGTGTTTAGGAGGTAATCTACTTCTATGAATCCTTTCTCCGATTTTAAAGTTGATTGATGTCAAAATCCTCAAAAGGATGAAAACGGAATTTAAATTTATGCATTTCCTACTCAAGCGCAGCGGCCGCAAAAATCTTCGATGCACTGAGGACCAATCATGTTCCGCTGAACGAAATCATGTTTATTCTAATGCTTTCGAGTTCAAAATAATAGTCCCGACGGGAAAAAACTGGAAATGAACTTGTAGAATTTTATTTTATTACAATAGAAAATGTAGAGTCTTCTTCGCAAGTATCAGTGGATTCGAAGAGGTTCGCTTCCATTGGGTCCTCTAACAGCTAAGGTTTATTGGTTAATTGGTAGGAATTGGTAAGGAATAGGTAGGAATAGGTTTGGTTAGGTATGGAATTTTGACGAGTCATTATTTTTCTATCCTATGAAGAACCACTTATGATACGAATAACGAGCACTGAAGTTGATTTCCTGAGTGCTGTATAGGTAGGAATAGGATTGCAGTACTTCTAAACCTAATTAAAGCAAAAGAACCACGAAGCATGCACTGGAGTTTTTCTTTATTTATTACATAAATAGCGGATTAATGTTGGATGATGTAAGGAGAGAGCGACAATGAGAAACCCGGATCTGCTGAATGCAGGAAAAAATGGAAGGAGAGTGGGAGCGGTATAACACCACACCCGAGCTGAGAAAACGTAGGATAAGGCTAGATAAGAAGGAAAAATAGGTTTAGCTAAAATGTGGCAGAAGCATTACACAGAGATAGGCGACAGAAATTATGAAAGGATAGCAAAACGCATAAGAAGGTGCTTGAAATCATTTGAAATATCTGAATACTGTTCGAGAACATCGTTTCTTTCCGAATGAGTGCGAGAAGTGACATTTCTACATTGAAATGACATAAGGGGCATATGGTTAAGGGAACCATCTTGAAGAGTCAAAGACGTCATTTGTTGTCGTTGGATCACTTCCACAATTAACAAGCACTTCCATTTCGACTACAAAGCGATAAAATGATTTGTCTAACCCTATATAGAGCATGAACAGGTGCAGATTTTAAGTGGCGCTTAACCAGCATACTGAGTATCATAGTTTAAGGATGGGACTGCCTAGTCATTCACATCGGTTACGTATCGGACTCGTGCTCTTATCGCACATCCTTCGCATGCAATATATGTTCGTCGCCAGCCACGGAATCTGGCTATACCTGCGCCTTATGTCACCGTTCGCATCTATAGAGGCTTAGCATCATACACAGGTTACTGTCGGGTTCTTGTTGCACTTTCTTAGACATTAATGCACCAATGTAAACACAGAATTTTGCTTGAATGCACGTTATGTTTTCCTTCGATACCATCTAATCATCGCAACGAGCTTTGGTTCGTATCCGTATTCCCTACTTATCGTGCTCTTATGGAAGCACTCACTGATCTTGCGTGTGTGCGTGTGTGTGTCTATTGACAAAGTTGACTTGCTACACGGCGTTGACCGTTATGCTAAGGTAAATAAATTCCTATACTATCCTATGGCGAAAGAGGAAATTCACCTATATGATGGAAGCTCTGCAGTAACGACTGTAATGAAAATGTTGCGCACATGTGCGCACACGTTTTGATAAATCATTTCTGCCAACCGTAATCATATTAAGCGAGGGTGGTCACATTAAGCACCATAAATATTCTATCCATCTTAAGGCGAAGAGCGCTTCTTATTGAAATTAGATGTGCGTGTCATATGTTTAAGACTAGTTGTAGCACTTTTGTTGTTGAAATCAAAATAGAACAGTGAAAACATACCATGCGTTGAATTTACCTTCGCCTAGGTCACTGTCCATGTTTAATACTCTGGGGCGACCCTAGGCGTGGTCGTCGCCTCATTTTCACTTTTCGCATTCCTTCTTCATCACTAGTCACATTATGCACTAAATTTACAATTAACCTTTTTTAAACATAGGAACCTCTCTGGCTCAAAACGTGACATACACCTTTTTCTTATTATAGCGTGCAGTCAAGTCAGGAGTTCGCCTTCTCAACGTCCTTTTCATGTTTCAAAACTGCACTAACTATGATTGATAAAAAAAATTGCACTATTTTCTTGATTAGTCCTCAGGAGGTGGTTAATCAAAAAAGTAGCCAGTCATTCATCGTTGGCTAGGTTAATAGAAAGCCGGTTTTCAGAGTAACTAGAATTGAATCAGATGTTAGTCCATTTCTACATTATTTATCGAACCTCCTAAATTCCTATAATTGCTCGTCCCCAGTGATCGATTGGAATTCGTTCGGCGACCCATAATAGAGAGCAACCGGTACTGTTATAGTCAGTTAGTCAATCTCACTGTGGTGCATCGTAATATTCGCATTAGCTCTGCACAGTTTTTAGTAAATGGTCCCTACAAGGCATTAATGGATCTTAGGTGTTTCATCTACATGGGAGCCGCTTAAGAGCACATGGCATTGCTGCAGCGTCCTTAAAGTGATCTGCTAGCAGTTGTTTCTTCTATTCCAGCTGATTTACGGCGTAGTGGAACTGGAGCGAGATGCAGCCAGCAGCTGTATGTGCACGAGCAACGTTGCATTGTGATTTATTTTATAGTTCTCAACAGGAAACCAAAGTAGAAAGGCGGTTTTCATTGTATTAGCCGACGCTGTACAAATCGTTTGTGGACACCCCTGACCATCATTTTTTTTCTCACTTATCCTACGCTATCAACACAATCTCTACTCTTTGGCAACTAATTTGTCATGAAGTGCTACCTGTTTCCCAACTCCATTACCGCGAGAAAGTTCACGTTTTAGCCTCCTTTCAGCCACCTTATCAAAAGATAAAGTGTACAATGGTGAAGCTTCCTAGGCTTTGTCTGCCTTTTCCCTGTTTCTGCTGCCTAAAACCTTGGAATAGTTTCGCATTATTTTTGTATTCATTTTTCTCGGCAATGATTTTATGCTGGTAGTTACAATTGGTTCCAGTTTTTTTTCTATCCCTTCCAGAGTGTTCTAGCAATGGAGAGTTCCTTGACGGTTTCTTCGGTGCATTCAGCGTAATTGTAGGTGTTGTTTTTTTCACTTGTAAACAGTGAATACAATTAATTTTGCAGTGATCCATAAGAAATGGGAGGAGACGGCGCCCTCAGTAAGAGCTATGTGCTGGTTCTTCGATTCTGTGGAAGAAACCCAAAAAAAATTTACTAGAGGAAATCTCTCGGTTTTACCAGTTTTTCGCGTCCAGTGCTCCGCTAATGTGAACATCACAACAGGTTTTTGTCTTTACGAAAAAACTCGTCTTCGATTGTGATCAAGACATAACCACTTCTAAGGTGACGGCCGAGTGAGCCAATGGAGCCGTTCGACTCACCTGGATTCGATTCCATCGAATGAGTGGAAATCAGTCCAAGCGGCTTACAGTCGTCATCACACGGTTGATAAAACACGAGCGAACGAATGAACGCCATCATCCGTCAAGCCGGTCAAGGTCGAGACGAACGCGTAAAACCGCCAGATGAGATGTTCAGATCAGCCGGCAGCGTTAAGTTGTGCTCTTCGGGTTCACTACAGCCACTTTGTCCTAAAACTTTAGCTTCCTAAAACCTCTACAACCACCTGCTTTTGAATCAGACGTGGTTTTTAGAAGTATTTTTTTATTCAGTAGTTAACAAAAATTATGACTGAGGATGTGTAGAAGAAAAACAACTCTAGAGAAACTATTTTTATGAAAACCCAAGCATGCAGTCATTTGCAATGTTACTAGGTTTATACACTTGTTTTTACCTACCCGCTTTTTCATTTCTTTTTTCATCTCTTCCTAGACGCCAATTGATTTGATCCGAGATTTTGTCGATTGCTGACCGAGTTCTCCTCCTATATCCTTGAACAATCCTGATATCGCACTGATTTCATCGTTAGCTGACCGATCCCGAAGTGTTCTAATCGAAATTGGGTGAAATGGTGTCAGATCTTTCCCGATGGTGAGTTCATCATAACGCCTTGGTACAGCTCTTTTTTTAGTTATTTCTTACTGAGGTATCCATTATGAATTTGGAAAAAAAGTTTCTGTTTGTAAAAATCACATCTATCCTTTTAAACTCCTTCAGAAATTCCAATATCTTCTCTTCAAAACGACTTCAGCCATTTTTTACTGTCACCCGGAAATGTGACATATATACTAAGGATTAAAACTGTTCATTAGCTATCCTTTCTCTAGTATCCGCTTTGCTAGAAGAACAGGCTTTTTTGTCGGATCTTTTACATGATCAGTTTTTCTGTCAGGAGCCAGCTGTTCGACAGGAACTCAGGAATTTGAAATGTCATTTATAACTGATACATAATATTTTCTTTCGGTTTGATTGTAAGCAATTTTGCTACCACCACCAGTTGCAAAAAAGTCTTGCGATGGAGCCCAGAGAAATTCCAACATTTAGATGAACTAGTCCATTTAGAATAAGTAACGATTGTTTCTGATTTCTGGTGGCTTACGAGTTCGTTCGCGTTTCCCACGAACTATAAAACTATCTGGTTATATCTTTTATTTTAAACTTTTACTGAGTTCTTTCAATTCTTCGAACATCGCAGATACGTCGTTCTCGACAAGCCCACAAAATAACCGGCGAATCTGTGCACTTTCGTAACTCGTTCCTTCCTCACTTTACTCTCATTTCAGTACCGAAAGGTGTATAAATATGTTTTCGGAAGAATTATTTGGTCCGCTGTTGTGCAGACGTATCATTTAAATCATTCTCTTTCATTCTTTCTCTCCCTTTCTCTTTGTTTCATCCACATCCACACTTCACCTGTATTCCTTGTTCTGTTTTTCTCTCTCTTTACCACTCCTTTTTTCTCCCCGTTCTTCCTCTCTTTTCTTTAAACATTGGAGCCTAATAATGTTTACGTGTTTTGAAAGAAATGACTAGAATTTGATTTCGACCAATTCATTGTTTCGATTGCTTCGTCAGTTTTATCAGTTGATTCTTGTCAGTTCAAGGAGAATAAAGCAATCTTTGTTGTGTACGCCGTCTCATCATTGAGCTTCGGCTGTTACAGTGATCGTCTGCACAAATGAACGAGATAGAGGCGCAAGCAGTGGAGCAGTTACGACGAGAGGTAACGAGTTCATCGTCATTTCGATTCTCGATAATGTTCGGTTGGAGAATCGTTAAATTGATGGTGTCGCTAAAATTTCCTAGACCAAGTTGGAAGATCGGTTTACAATGCTGTGCCTAACCAACAATCGTAACCAGGTCATATAGACTGGATTATATGCCTCGTACTTGACTTGTAAATAATTTACTTTTTTACAACTAGGCTAGATATGCACATGTTTGCATTCCATGATATGATTTCCTATAAATACTTACGCTTTTACAGCCTTATTTTAGAACAGCGACCTTCTGTCAGCGAAGTATGGGCGCGATTACAATCTGTTGCGATGGGCTCAGGTAGGTGACACGACGAACCCGTTCTTGTTTATCATCTGGAATATCACAAAACTCATTTATGCTTAGGGATACGAATTTGATCTCGAAGAAGCGTCGACACAACTACGGCGCCATTTGAAGTTTAGGAAATTCTATGATCTTGACAATGCGGATAAGATCCCTGAGCATGACATACTAAAGAAGTACTTTCCGATTGGACTAGTCGGTTAGTGATAAGAGAATTCTGCTACCCATTAGTTCCACGTCTACGCGTAAGAATTATGAATTTAAGTCGTTATTATTTCAGGCGAAACTGGTAAGGAGAACACTTTGCTGGTGATAGAGTGCGCCGGTCGCATAGATTTTGCCGGAATTCTGAAGTCTGTCCAGATGTCCGATTTTCTCGTTCAGAGATTCCGCCTTCAAGAGAAAATGCTTGCAGCTATGAACCACCTCGAAGAAAAAAACAATAAACAGGTACTTTATGGACGGAACACATCCACAGGTAAGATGGATAAGTCCTAACACCGACCGCACTGAGGCGAATCCTACGTAGTAGCTATCGACGTCAAATGAACTGTCAAGCTCAGTACACTTTTTTCCGTTTTAAATGTTTTCGATTTTTGGGTTATCGAAGTACTTCTTCTGCTTTCTATAGCTTTAAGTTTATCCAAACTGTTTATAGGCATCGGTGGTTTATATCTTAGACCTCGAAGGACTCAAATTTGATGCGTCCTTGCTTAGTATCGTCACAGGTATGACGAATTGCTATAGACGTATTTCCTCTTATAAAACAAAACAACTTGAATAGGTCTGAGCTCTAACGCAGAAAGAGGGTCGCCATGAGTAATTGAAAAATGACTTTCATGAGTTTCTTTAGTCGATGATTCGAACTTCTTTATCTTTTTTTATTTTTTTTCAAGGTTATTCTTTAGTAGTCACTAAGTAATAATTGGTGTTTTAAGCAATTTGGATCTTCCGCCTATTAAAGAAATATTCCTGAACAGTGAAGTTCTACATATATATCATGCTTCAAGAGAGGATTTCAAGAAATTCTACCATTTATTTAAGGAATTGCGAAAAGCCTCCCAGCGGTTGAGCGCCTAATCGTGGCTGGGAGGTGCTCCTGCGTGTCGGGCTGCGATGTGCAGCGGTGGCCCATCGGCCCAGCAGGGCCTCCCAAGCCGAGGAGTCCGACGTTTCCATTCCGGGGCGCGCAGCTAAGAGTAAACTAATGCTAGGAATTGCCAGCGTCCTGGTATCAAAGTAGTCACATATTGGCGAATCTCCTTCCGATACACAAGGGCGACGGCTACTTTGGGTAGTGATGACTTGAGGAAGGCTTCGGCATTCCTGACCTCGGGCCTGCAGGGAGCCACAACAGCTAAGCCAGCAATTCTCCTGCCTCGAGTACTGAACACGCTGTGCGCTGTAGTTTACAACGTCGAGTGGTGAGACAACCGGTAAGGGGCGATCAAATATCGGATTGCGCAGGAAGTCATTATAAAAAAACAAAACGAGGACGCCGACAACAGGCTACTGGGACTGCTCCTTGCTGTACACCTATAACGCCAGAGCAGTCTTTTCAGATGCCGACCTTTACGTTCTTCTTGAGGCTGATGGTCACATCAAATTCCATGTGGTCTCACTACAAGAGAAGGAAAGCCGTAAAGTCGACGTGCGTCAATTAGATGGCGGAACCTTTGTCATTTATGGAGAGAAATTTTCGTTACCATCCATTTCCCATCTAATCATTTCATACAAAACCGTTTCACCGCGCTTGGCCATTCTTCGCCTCCAACCTGCGCGCCAAAAGAAAGTGACTATCACCAATTGCTAACCACTTCAGTATCATCAACTGCTAATCACCAACTTGAATAGCTGATGAGATGAAATTAGACGCGTTCTACAACCAGTTGGAGGAAATGATCCACAACTAGTGGTCTCTCTATAAATTTGTTGTTGGAGATTTTAACGCCGGGTTGGGTACAGCCAACGAAAATGTATACAGGTAGGAAAATTCGGGGCGAGAAAACGAAATGTGAGTAGAAACTGTACTGTAGTACTCTAGTCCGCAGCACGTCTTTTTCATTCGAATTCATTTTTCGAGAAGACAGACGATCGCCGATAGGCATCGGCGTATCCTAATGACACGACTCATGCGGAGATCAGTGATACTCTCACGAAAATAAAATGATGTCTCTTTGACATCTTAGTGGCACCTGGATTCTGTACTTGATCTAATCACAGCCTGCTCCGTGCGAAGTTTCGATTCAGCCATAAGCTGTAAAAAAAACTGCTGCCATCGCCCAAGAAAACAAAACAGGTTGTGTTTGACTGAGATATTCTCAGTAAAATGCTCACCTCCTATCACTGCCAGATAAACGAAAACCCGAGCGAATACTATGCGCTGCTCGTCGAAAGACAACAAATTTGTGCCGAAATCGCCTCAGTTCTTCAAGCAAGAAGTTCAGATCGCATCTCCATTACCATTAAGTTTTCCTGAAAAGAGGGCACTGAAGTTTGATCCTCCTGCAACATGCCTAGCACGGCTAATAATAGACGCTAGCTGTAGGTCTTTGCAAAAAGATTTACATAGGTACAGGCAGAAAGTGTTCTTTGAAGCAATTCGAAAACGATACAGTCTGAAGAAGTACCGTCTTAGTATATAATGCTGAGATATTTCCAAAACTCCGGACCGCGGGTGTATGCGGTGGGAAACGAACCCGTGCTGTTGTCTTTACCGGGGAGCAGCGCACTTCACCACCACACCATCCGGGTCCTTCGTCTTGCCTGTCTCTCAGCTAGTTCTATCGATCTTTTTGCCATCAGCAATCACCCGTCAACGGGATTGATCTGGGAAGCCCAAATCGGCATTGAACCCAGTTAAGCTGAGGCTTAGTTATAATCACAATCTTAACCCTTTTATTTACTGCTTTTTCTTTTTAATGTCAGGGTATGTTGCGAAATATAACTCGTATATAATGTTTTATATGAGTTATATTTCGCAATGTCTTATACGAGTTATATTTCGCATTATATACGAGTTATATTTCGCAACATACTCTGCCATTAAAAAGAAAAAGGCAGTAAATAAAAGGGTTAAGATTGTGATTATAACTAAGCCTCAGCTTAACTGGGTTCAATGCCGATTTGGGCTCCCCAGATCAATCCCGTTGACGGGTGATTGCTGATGGCAAGAAGATCGTTAGAACTAGCTGATAGACAGGCAAAACGAAGGACCAGGATGGTGTGGTGGTGAAGTGCCCTGCTCCCCGATAAGGACAACAACGCCGGTTCGTTCTCCACCGCATACACATGCGGTCCGGAGTTTTGCAAATATCTCAGCATTATATACGAATTATATTTCGCAACATACCCTTACCGTCTTAATCTTTGCAACTGTAATGTTCCATTGTCCTCACGGATGAACGAAAATGGGAGCATTACATGTAAATGATAACTGATAGGTTTTATACCAATCTTTTCCTTTCCAAAATTGCTGTCTAGGACCACGAAATCTCCAGTGGTGAAATACCGCTTAGAATTCTGCTCTCTGAAGTTTAATTCGCGATAGACAGCATGAGGAGAGGCAAATCTCCACTATCCGATCATATCACCGCCGATTTTCTTAGGGCTATAGACCACAAATTACAGGTACTGCTTACAACCCACATGAAATTTTGCTATGAATCCCAAATGAGTGGACGTCGCGCACGGTCATCCTACCCAAGAAGGGTGACCCGAAGGGATTGTTGTAACCACCGTCCAGTATGATCGATGAGTATACTCCACAAGCTGTTCACGAAGATTATCTTTTATGCATATCGAAGAGCTTGGTTGAGGCTTTAACAAGTTTAACAAGCAGGATTCCAGCAGGATTCTGTTGCATGGACCACATCTAAACCGTGTGACAAGTCATAGGAATCTATTGGGTGTACCATCCGCCTTTTGCCCTAACCTTTATCGTTTATGAAAAAGCATTTGATAGTGTTGAAACGAATGCAGCCCTATCAGCGCTTGTCAACCAAATAGTAGACACTAGTTTATCGGAGCTGCAGCACGAATACACAGCTTTTTCATGGACCCCTCATTTCACCAGCGCTGCAGTGGACAATAAAATCACTCGATTGGGACGAGAGTGACGTACGTATTGATGAACTATTGCTATCAAATCTTCGTTTCGTGGACGGCATCACCATATTTCCAGGGTGTCCCCATGAATCACTTACAATGTTCAGTGAAATCAAAGAGACGGAAAAAGATCGGACTGCTTATAAATAGGTCGAAAATCCAGTTCATGAAATCTGTAGTGCAAAGATCAAATCGAACTGCATGGTTTTCTGACTTCAAAAACCACCTCCTACATTTACTTCGGACGTTTAGTGGACATGGAAATAACATGAAGGAGGAATGAGGCAAAAGAAGAGCATTTGGGCCACTCAAAGAACCCACCGACCAACTAACGAGCACAAAACTCCGCGCCTACTTTTTTGATCCAGCTGTCCTTCCAGTGCTTTGTTATGGGCCGAAACATGAGCTGATACCTCAAGAATACTGCTCACCACTCACGGAGTGCTTGTACTATGTCCTCTGAAATTTAGCCGGCACTCGCAATGTCTAGGCGAAATGCTCAGCTCAGATCTTCGGAACCTCTCCCATCTTCGGGATCTAGGAGAATACACATCATTAGCGAAAAACAGATAGATCGGTTACATAATATGAAAACCTGATGGCAAATTGATGAAAAGAACAGTGGAATGTACCTCATGAGAATGCAAGTGCTCCCTTGGACGACCACCACCCATACGATGGGCGGATGTGTTCTCGGTTAGCGCCATCCATCTACGCTCGCAGATGGCAATTATTTCAGGATTATAGAAAGGGCCTCACTGACTTCACGAGGATCGCAATAGGCCACTGGACAACGATTGCGCGAGAAAACGAATGAAAATTTTGCTGTGGCCTCCAAAACCAGTGAAGATGCACCTTTCAAGTACTCAAGTAAGTACTGCCAAAAAGCGTTTACCATGAAAAAATGACTGCATGTGTTTGTCAGGACTTGTTTTTGCTTTGTATGGCATTGTGTAGTAAATCGAGACCAGTTAAACAGCTGCAGTTCCTCCACGAACTTGAACGTTTCTTACTTTGAAACGAACTTCAAGAAATGTGAGGAGCCGATTTGAGAGTGATCAGCTAAACTGAGCTCTCCATCTTCTCGGCAAAACTTTGACTGGATCATGTTTGTCTCATGAAAGAGATTGTTCCCTTATGCCGTTAGGGGCAGGCTTTGATATCTTAAATAATCACCAAACGTTCACGCAGCCAATGCGAAATGTTAGTTTATGGGAAATCAGCAATGAAAACCTTCTGTCATAGTTGGTTAATGGGTCGTGTAAAAGGTTCCATCATTTCTCATTCTATTATTTATTTATTTATTATTTATTTAAAATGAAGTGGCGAGCAGCAATCGTGATTTGCTTTGGAACATCTCACGAAGTGAAAGCATCTTCAGAAAATAAACACCTCATACATAAACATGCATTTACTATGAATCAGCGGGCGCGTGTGGCGCAGTGGTCGGAGCGCCCTGCAATACCTATAGTATCGATCTCCGCTCCCCAGGCCAATCAAGCCTTCCATCCCTCCGGGGTCAGCGAATTTGTACCACACTTGCCTGGGACGACAGCAGCATTGCTCGATACATCGTTAGGCCACCGAGAGTCATTGTAAACGCCAAATATGCATTCAGTCACCTCCAACGATGCTGAGTGAAGTCGAATGCATGGCGCATCCCTCAGGAATTGATCA